ATTTACTAGTAAATAACTTTAGTTTAAAAAAACCTTATTTTTTCTAACCCTTTACTCTAACTATTAGTATAGTTTAGCTACTATTATAATAAAGAATAGTAACCTTAACTTTAAGTTTATTTACTAGTAGATAACTTTAGTTTAAAAAACCCCTATTTTTTCTAACCCTTTACCCTAACTACTAGTATGGTTTAGCCACTGTTATGATCGACGCGATTGGGGAGACGATCAACGAGGCCTGTGAAGAAGCCTGGATCAATGAGGAGCTCCTCCTCGGCATCCCTAAGGCCAGCCAGCCTCTCCCGGATACCATCGACCGTCGCCGACGCACCCAACACGCGCAGAGCTTTTGTGGTACCAAACTCGTCATACAAGGCAAAAGATCGCACGTCGCCGAAGAAGATGCACTCGACGCTGTCCAATTTGAGGGTGCGTTCCACAGTGGCCAAGAGGTAGTCGGCGCTGCCGAAATACTGAGCGACCGAGTTGATGACGACGAGCTCTGGTTTGACCTGCCAGTCTAGATTCTCAATCGTTTCGGCCGTGCCAACTTGTATATCGATACGATCAGCCAGACCCGGGACGAAGTCAGCCATACGACGAACAAAAGACACCGCGGACGGCGAAGGATCGACACCGACGTAGTGGTCAAAGTCATCGGCCAGGTTAAACATCATCATGCCGGTGCCGGTGCCAATCTCGCAGACGGTCTTGGTGTGAGACGTGCTGCGAATGGCCGCCATGGTGTCATCGAGCCAGTCAGTCATCTCGTCGCGGTCAATCAGCTGTCCGTCGTACATGGACTTCCAACCCAGAAAGTCGCGGCCGAAGTTGGCTTTGTAGATACTGCCGATGGAGGCATACGTATCCGAGTCAAAGAGCTCAGCCCAGGCAGCGACCTGATCCTTTTGGGTATTATGATTCTCGTCAACCGGTACCTGGGCCACTCCGTCGACGACATCGCCGTGCATAGTGAGAAAGGCAATGAGTTCCGTCTCGACGCTGTTGGGCGCACGCGCGAGCACGGCGGCACTGGCAACCGATGGCTCGCGGAGAAAGGTCTGTTCGACCTCGTGTAGCTCGACACGGTGACCGCGAATCTTGACCTGGTAGTCCGTTCGGCCAAAGAATTCTGGCTGGCCGTCGCGTGGGCGGATACGTACTCGGTCACCAGTTCGATACACGCGAAGACTCTGTCCGTTAACTGTGACTTTGGTGAAGCGCTCCGCGTCGAGAGAGGAATCAGTGTACCCACGGGCAACGCCATCGCCTGCAAGCACTAGCTCTCCGACGACGCCGAGAGGGACGAGGCGCTGCTTAGAGTCCATGACAAGAGCGCCCGAGTTGGAGATGGTGCGTCCAATTGGAGCGCCATTGGCACAGGGCTCAGTCGCTGTCATGGCAAACAGTGTGCTCAGGCAGCTGTTTTCCGTGTGGCCGCAGGCATTGATGACAGTGCCCGGGACGATGCTTTGAGCTGCCACAGCATCGCGTGCGTCCAGACGATCGCCCGACACAAGTAGCACGTCGAGGCCGGAGAGGACGGCAGGGGATTCGACAAGGCATTGCTTCAAGAAAGCAGGCGTAAAGAGGGCCGCACGAATCTTCTCTCGAGAAAGTATTTGGTCGAGGGCAGGCAAGTCGAGCACGCTCAGGTGGTCAAAGCAGACGAGGGAACCCCCGTTGAGCAAGGAGGCGTATATCTCCCAGGTAGCAGCATCAAATGCAAGATTGGAGACGTGAGCGATCGGGACAGCAGACTGCGTAGCTTACAAAATATTACTATTCTTAACCAGGCGAACGATGCCGCGATGCTCAACCAAGACGCCTTTGGGGCGACCGGTTGAGCCAGAGGTAAACATGACATAGGCCAAGCTAGTAGGGGAAACAACAGGCAACGTAGCGACGTCGGTTTCGGAGTCCCGTGCTTCAGAGATGGGCAGGAATTCAACATCAAGGTTGAGGGTAGGAGGAGTGACGCCTTTTCCTAGTAGGACAAGCCGTTTTCCCTGGACTGTTGACAGGATGCTCTCAAGACGTCTAGGCGGCATATTTATATCAAGAGGGAGATAGGCTAGGTTAGCTTTGAGAATGCCTAGAAAAGCGGCAATTGTCTCGCAAGAGCGGGGAGCAAAGACTCCAATCATGGCTTCTGGGGCATAGCGCTGCTTGGCGAGCCAAGACGCGATGCGGTCTGACTGTTGGTCTAGCTGTGTATATGTTAGGTGAGCCACAGAGTCTTTGACAGCAACATTATCAGCAGATAATGCCACTTGCTCACGGAAAAGAGCTGGTACACTCGACTCCCGCGGGTATTCAGTATGGGCGATGCCAGCCAGGCCTGCGTCGATGAGGCTCTTGAGGTCGTCTGTGAGCGGCATCGACGCCAGAGGCACCTCAGGTTCCGTGATTCCGCGTCGCAAAATCTCAAGGAACACGGATGCCATGCACTGTATTGAAGCAGCGGCAAAGATCTCATCAGAGTAGACGACGGAGCCACGCAGACCGTCAGGCTCTAGAACCAGACGAAAATCGAGATCAAGTGGCGCTGTCGTTGTGGCTTTGGACAGCGATACGCCGTTGCCACCAACATTGCCATTATCTTGCTGCGATTGTACCGCAATAGCCATGCGCACCAGCGGATTATGAGCAGCGCCGCGCTGTCCTCGTTGAGTAACAGAGGCAATCTGCTCCAGAGACAAGCCCTGGTGAGCTGTCGCTTCTTCTATGGTGAACATGGTCTTTTGTATCAGCGAAACAAAGGAATCTTTATCTTCCTCTTCAAGCGCGAGCCGAATGCACTGCATCTCGGCGGGCTTTACCGTCCCTTGGCTTTGGTGCAAGCCAATGTTGGCGTCTTCAACGTTTGTGAGGCGGAAATGAGCCGCGCGAAAGGCAGCGAGGAGAACGATGCTCGGTGATACCGATTCTTTCTGGCAGAATCCTTGCAAGATTCGCAAGCTACTTGCATCGACGAATGTGTACTCTTCGGTCGTGCCAGACGGCGAGGAGGGTCGAGGTCGATCGCGAAGCAGCTCGGCGGGTTGGCTGCCGTCGAGCTGTTTTTGCCAGTATTGGAGCTGTTTATCGTTTTTGGAGTGGCCGTTGAGTGTTTTATGCCCATTTGTAGTTGTGTGGCCGTTGCTAGCTGCCTGCCCATTCGAGGCGTCTCCATTGGAGGTGTGTCCATGGGAGGTGTGTCCGTTGGAGGAGGTATGGCTATTGGAAGTAGTATGTCCATTTGATCCATTCTGTCCATTCAAGGGACCGTTACCATTGGAAACCACTTCTCCGTTGGAGACCGTATGTCCGTTGGTAGATGTCGGATGCTTTTGACCGTTAAGGGCGGCATCGCCGGTCGCCGCCGTCTGGCCATTTCCTGATTTTTGATGCATTTTCTTGTTGTATAGGTGAATTAATTGATTCGAAGCAAGAATGTGTTTCAAGATTTACTCCAAATCTCACTCGATGCGAGTAAAGGCAGAATGAAGTGAGGCTGCAGTGAAGGAGTAAGCCAAGTCTGCTGCATGCTGCAACTCTCTATTTTGGTCTGTTTCCTAAATTCCACCGGAAACAAATTCTACATCCGATTTCATCATATCATGTCAAGGACTCAAATGCACAATTTTCCCGATTGGTCATGTCGTCGGGTGCCCACCTGTCCTTCGCGCAATTCACCTGTCCTTCGCGCACTTTACCTGTCCTTGGCGCACTGCACCTGTCCTTGGTGTACGACCTGTCCTTCCGGCTGTCCTTTCTCATGTATGCAGGATTCTAAAACTGGGGGAATGAGGGGAAGTACTATATTAAAATACAACGCCGAAAAATCGTTTGTCGCGAATGCGCTCGCCATGGGTGAAAAAGACGATCGGCACGGGAATCATGGCGATAGCAATAAAGGCGAGCAGGGAACAACCCCAGCCAAAGCCGAGCTTGACAAACATGGGGCCCCCAGCAAGCGGAAGCAATGCTCCGCCGAGCGAACGCAGCATGATGCTGGCGGCGACGGCCGAGGCTGCGTAGGTGCCGTAGGCGTCGATGAGGTACGCCAAGACGGCCATCTGTAGAGTCAGCAGACGGTAGCATGGAAATGCGAAACGGTGTGAGAGTACGTACAAAGGCCAAAGTAACACCAATACTTAGAATAGCGGTGCCGATAATGGGAAGCATCCAGTGTTGGTGAGTTTCTGCCGTCCAGCCTATCCAAAAGATCCCGATGGGGACGACCACTGAGCCAGCCACGGCCAGGGGCAGGCGATGCTCTGGCTTTGGTGTTGCGTCTGCTTCCTTCTTCAACCATTGCACCGTTCTATCCGAAGTTGCGCCTGAAATGAAGACACCGATAAACGAGCCGATGCCGAGGCCAATGTAGGTGAGGCCAATGGCGCCAGTGGAGAAGCCGTAGACAGTCTGGAAAATTTGCGGCATAGCGGTGAAGACGAGATAGAGATATCCATAAAAGACAAACATAAAGAGAGAGAGAAGAAAAATGATGGGCGAGCAGGTGAGCATCTTGGTCGGCCGAACAATGGCGAGCGTGACAATCTCGGTTGGTGAGCGGCGGTCGTCGACGGCGGGACGGAGGTTTGGGTTGCCAGTTGCTTTGCGGAGGCGTTTGGTTTTGCGCCAGAGGAGGGTGTATGCGTATGTTTCTCGAAGAAATAAGAAGGAGACGAGCCAAACGGCACCAGACTGCCAAATGTAAGCTACTCACTCGATGTTCAATGGTTGGGTCAACATACTACTATGGTGACGAGCCAAAAGGACCATCTCCAGCCTTTGACGTTGATGAGATAGCCACCAGCTACAACCACAAGTTAGAATAGGATGAACTGTATAATGTAGGTGAAATGATCATCACCAATTGGTCCAATAACTGGCCCTAATAACGGCCCAAAGGTCCATGCGGACAATACCCGCCCACGCTTCTCAAAGGGGACGATGTCGGCAATCGTACCAGCGCTGAGGGCAAGCGGACAACTTCCAGCCAAACCAGCAAAGAGACGCAAAACGACAAGAGACGCAAGACTGGGCGCCATAGCACACGCTGCACTAAAGAGAACGAATAAGATGCCGCATCCGTGGTACAGCGGCGAGCGGCCATACACTTCAGACAGCGGCGCGATAATCAAAGGCCCAAGCGCGTAGCCAATGACGTAGACCGAGATTACAAAAGAGCCAAGTTCGAGATTCTGGGAATGAAAGTCGTCGAGGACTTGAAGAATACCCGGGGCAAGCACCGACGAAGCCAGGGAACTGCGCCCTGTTAGTCGCAGACGATGACAAACACAGCCAGGACCCGTCTGGACTCACCTAAGAAAAGTGATGATGGAAATTATGGTTATGACAACCACAACTCGCCTCAATGGCCAATTCATTGGGTTTTTCGGATCATCTGGCCCGTCCCAGTCTACCAAGTCCTCATCCAGCGCATCGCTGAGGATGGGTTCATGTTTGCCCTCTTCTGGGACGCGATCGGGGCTGCTCGACTGATTACTTGGCGACATGCTGGTTGCATACAGTGTTTTGAGGGATATGTTTTGTATTTTTTTTAGCTTAAGTATGCCTAGACTACCTCGCTACTTTCTTCTGGCATGCAGGACATGTCTGATGTCTGATTGCCTAATATCGGTGTGAAGGATCAAAGCGGATCCCGAGCTGAGAGCCGAAGCCGAGAGCCGAGCCAAGGCACTATGTCAATAAATTATAGCGATCAAGAGAAGCCATCTCCCTCCTCTCTATTACACACAGCATGAATTAATGCTCCGACGCTGTTATGGCACGGACGGCAACTTCTGCCTCTCCAGACCCAACAGAGAGGGCTCCGTTGCTCGCATCACCTACTGCCCCTACAGGCTACAGCACCGACAATGGCTGCCACGGCACAGATAGTCGCCCAAGAGTTCCAGCCTCCCCCCCACGGACGGTCTGGCCGATTGCTACGATTGAGCTCTGCGAGCGGTTCGCCTTTTTCGGAGTCGTGGGACCAATGCAAAACTATGCGCAGAATGCAGTCGATGATCCCTTGCGGCGGGGTGGTCTTGGTACGTATGACATGAAGCTCGTATAGAGAAGGATGGGATGGCCAGCCTGACGTATATCCTGACTAGGACTCGGACAAGCCAAGGCCACCATGCTGAATCAATCCTTTCTGCTGTGGTGCTACATCACACCTATAATAGGTGCTGTGGTTGCGGACCAGTACCTGGGCCGCGTCAAGACGATTTTCATGGCCTCGGCTCTCTACGTGGCCGGGCTGCTCTCGCTATGTCTATCGGCATCATCAGCAGCCCAAAATGTGGAATTGGCTCGATTGACACTAGTAACTGCCTTGTTTCTTATTGGAATCGGCGCGGGCGGCATCAAGACCAACGTGAGCGCCCTCATTGCAGAGCAGTACACAGAAAGCGATACTATTCGCATCAACAGCTCGGGGGAAGAAGAGATTGTAGACCGAGACCTGACACTACAGAGGTTCTGCGCCAAGATTTTCAACTCGAGTTTACGCAAGGCTGACCTTTTTAAGAATATTTTTGCTATTCTTCCTCTTCATCAACGTCGGCTCCCTCTCCGCCTCGGTCTGCACCGTCATTGAGCAGCGATACGGCTTTACACTGACCTTTGCCACCTCAACGCTAGTCTTTGTGGTAGGCTTTGTCGTCTTACTCTCACGAAGAAGCAGTTTTATCACGAGTGCGCCCCAAAAGTCCATCATCCTCCACGCAGGACATGCACTCTGGCTGTCGCTCCGACGAGGCGGCGGCTTACAGCAAGCTCGTCCTGATGCACACCCGAATCGACGGCTGCCCTGGGACGACGCATTCATCGACGACCTCGGCCAGGCCTTGTCCGCTTGCAAGCTTTTTCTTCTTTACCCCTTCTACTGGGCAGCATGCAGTCAGTTTGCGACCAGTTTTGTCTCCCAGGCCGCCACCATGGAGACGGGTCGCCTGCCTAGCGACGCCCTCGTCTTTCTCGATCCCGTTACCACCATCACCCTGCTGCCGGTCCTCGACCGCGTCGTCTTTCCATACTTTCAACGCCGCGGCTCGCCCATCACCTACCGGCATCGCGTGACAGCCGGATTCCTGCTCTGCGCCGCCAGCATGCTTTATGCCGCTACCGTCCAGACTCGGGTCTACGCTGCGCCGCCCTGCTACGATCGACCCCGCGCGCGCGAATGTATGGGCGGCGCCGTCCCCAACCAAGTCTCCGTCTACTGGCAGGTGCCTGCCTACGTGCTGGGTGCCGCCTCGGCGGTTATGGCTGCTGTCGCAGCCATCGAGTATGCCTATACGCGCGCGCCGGCGTCGATGAAGTCGCTCATCATGGCCATTTACCTCTCTACTACGTCGCTCGGCTCCCTGCTCGCCGTCTTCGTGACGCCGCTGACTCATGACCCTCTGCAAGTTTGCATGTACGTAACGCTGGCCGTCGGGCCGCTGGCAGCCAGTCTGATTGTCTGGGTGAGACCGCAGCTTGTGCAAGATGTCAAGGGTGATCCTCCTGTACAAGGCTGAGGGCAGCATGGCCAGCCCCAGCTAGACGTGATCTGGGGAATGAGGTCCAGATAAAAACAAAACATGTCAAGCTTTTCTTAGTGTTGGCCGGACTTGGCCGATGGTGCACTAATATTTGCATGTCTGATGGAGTGGGTGGGGGGGTTGGCATAAGGCTTCTGGAGACGCTCGGCTGCCTTACTGGTCGTTGCCGACAACGATTCCGAAACACACCTGCGCCGTCCAATACACCGATGCGCTTCAAACGAGGAAATGTTTCGGCTGGACAAAGATCAGTGGGGAGGAGCTCTGTGCATTGCGCCCGCATTCTCGTCCTCTCGAGATAAAAATGGACGGCGTAATACGTGAAATTTTACCGACCGAATACTACTACGCTATCGTTTATGAATATGTGCCCGACACCCAGTGTGCCCTTACTGCAGATGTCCTGCAGGCCCAGCTGGATTTTTTTTGGCTCTCTGGATTCTGCTTGGTCCCGTTGCGCGCAGAGAATTGGACAGGTCCTGGGATCTTGCTGGACCTGGCGGATCTTATATGTCCTTGGCAGGCTGCATGGTTTGCCTCTCTTTACAAGCAACAACGCGCAAGGGAGGTAACACAAAATACAGATGTGCAAGAGGAGGGGAGGTGTAAGTGCGCTGGTTCCTGTAAGAGGAATACAGGGTCATATCCCTGTATACTACTAGAACTTATATTAGAGGCAAAATCGTTTGATTTTCTTCTCCAGAGTACGAATTAATAGCAATGCATTAAGATTGCAACCCTATCTGGCTTAGTAATGACTGACCCCAGCTTGCTAGTTAGTTCTGGAAATGGACTGGAATTGTCGCTGGTCGGCGGGTCAAATGGCGTAAGTTGGTATGTCTCGCACTAGGAGTACATACATACATACACCTTACAGTACTTGAGTAAATATGTCGACCAGCTTAGCCTCCTCACAAAGAACGCCTAACGGCAATCTTTATGCTATCGGCGATATTCATCTTGCCTTCGCAGAAAACCGAGTGGCTTGGTCCAAACTGTCAACTCACTGTGGGGATGGACTCATTCTCTGCGGCGATGTGGGAGAATCCGATGACCATCTACGAGTCGCTTTCTCCAAAGCGACTGCGTGCTTTGATGCCGTTTGGTGGTGTCCCGGCAATCACGAGCTTTACACGATGCACGGAAAAGGGAGTAGCGCTCGAGGAGAAGAAAGGTATCAACAGTGCGTCGACATTGCACGAGAATACAAGGTGCTCACGCCCGAGGATGATTTTGTGGTTTGGGAGGGAGCAGGCGGTCCAGCGGTCATTGCCCCCATCTTCACTCTTTATGACTACTCATTCAGGCCTCGGGAAGTAAGCTTCGAAGGCGCGATTGAGTGGGCAAGCGAACAAGATACGGTAGCGACGGATGAGTTTCTGCTTCACCCGGACCCGTATCCCACGCGACAAGACTGGTGCCGAGCGCTGGTGAAGAAATTTGAGACAAAGCTGGACGCGACAAGGGCGCAGTTCCCATCGTTACCCCTTGTTATTGCAAACCATTGGCAGCTACGGCAGGATTTGGTGCAACTTCCTTTGGTCCCAAGGTTCAGTTTGTGGTGCGGTACGACATTGACGGACGACTGGCACCGGAGATTTAATGCCAAAGTGGTCATCAGCGGCCATATTCACATCCGTCGAACAGATTGGAGGGATGGGTGTCGGTTCGAGGAGGTTAGCCTTGGCTATCCACGGCAGTGGAAGAAGTGTGCTGATATGGGTAAGGGAGTGAATGAAATTCTCAGAGAGATTCTACCTGGTCCAGAAGTGCCCAGAGCCGAAATTGTCCCAACACAGTGGAGAGTCTACGGATAGGCGATTCCTCGTCCTGCAAAGTCGATTTAATTTCAGCTACTTTTTTACTTTGACTGTTCTGCTGGAGCTGGCCAGCCCGTGGACAATCTAGTGTGGTGTGCGCTTCGAGTCAAAAGGGTTGGAACGCGAAACTTTCGTTTTAATCGGTCCTTGACTATCATTCTCTAGTAGTTTTTTTTTATTATTTCAGGCATATTCTGTCGCTCTCTAAATTCGTGGTTTCGGGTACCTCATGTCCGGATGCAGTGTTACCTACCTAGGTACCTAGGTAGGTAGGTAGGTACCTGTTAGCATGTGCCTCGGCAAGCGGCGAAGCAGGACCGCTACTGCGCGCCTCTCGGCCCCAGCTGCGTCATCAACACAATCAATCAGCAACCTGCATCGCATCGCTCCTCCACGAGGCATTAAGCCACCACTGCGCAGCATCGAATTAGACGCAGTGAAGACCAAGACAAGAAGGTTTCTACTGCAAAACAGCCCCCATCGACATCGGAAACGCCCGTCGTTATGCCCGCGCAGTCGACGCTGCCCAAGCGTCCTGCGTCGACGGTTACCCAGATCCTCGCCATGCCGCCACAGTGGCTTGCGTCCTACGAGGAATTCGTCACGAAAAATGCAAGCCAAGTCTCGCAAATTGAAAGTGCTCTGCGAAGCTTGACATATATTATCCCTGGTTTGTCCTCACTTCTCTACCTACTTCTCCACCCGTCCAACTCCCTCTCTAAACTGTCGGGTCCGCGCAGGCCGCTTTCGCGACGCTGAGATTGCCTCCGAATCGATCCATTCCGGTGTGCAGCTTCTCAGTCTGTACCATGACAATCTTCTTTCCAAAGCCGTGTCCAAGCTCCCGATCCCGCCTATCCGCACCGCGCACGCCCGCTACACTCGATTCTGGGCTGAGAAGAGCGCCTTCTACAGGCGTGTGGCCATGACACTACAGATGGTCATCTACACCGAGCTGCTCTTGGAGATGTCGGCTAAGCGTCGCGGTGGGAATAAGTCTAGATGGCGCGTCGTCGTGCTGCTCGAGGGGATCAAGGCCGTCTGCCGTCTGCTGCTGCTTCGCATCACGCGCACACGCCAGATCGTCACGCCGCCGCTGCCGGAGCGCGAACCCATCCCAGACGACATTTCTAATCCTAATCGCGACGAAAGCGACTTGGCTCCTGGCAGTGAAAGCGAGTTTGCGCTGGAAGATGGCGGCAGCATCCACGGCAATACTATGGCGTCGCAGGACGCGCTGGATATGATGAGGCCTCCTTATGGACGCGACTGGACCATGCCCCGAACGGGCATGAGCATGCCATCCTTGCCAGAATCTGGAGATATCAGCTCCTATCTGCTTTCGCGAGTGCTCACCGCTGACGACATTCGTCCTGCGACAAAACTGCTGACCCAGTTGCGAGGCGTCGGACATGCTGCTGAAGTGCTGCATATTCTCGCGCCACTCATATATGCTGTCGCGCTGATGCGCAGCAAAAATAAGCGATCGTGGACGCCGTGGATGATTGGCCTCACGGTAGAATACGCCGCGCGACAGCTGCGCGACACCAGCAGCGGCGCCAGTCTGCGCACGACGCCGCTGGAACGCGACGAGTGGAATAAGCGCGGTTGGTCGATGATGTGGTGGGGCATGCGCGGCGCGTTCTATGAGAATATCACAAAGGGTATGGTAAATGGCGTATCGAGACGGATGCCCAGCTTCATTGGTGGTATCCTGGAGGACTACGAGTATCTCTGGGAGAATTACTACTTCAGCACCAGCGCGTAGGGAAGTTCGGCGAAAGTATAATAGGCCGCTACCTTTTAACCAGTTTGAGGCTCTATTTCTCAGCATACTTTAGACGAATGAGAAAAGAGGCGACATAACTGCTGCATAGAAAGGCACAGATGTAAGGTGCATAAGTAGGCAATATAGTTTAGACGAGACTAAGAGCTATTAATAATACTGGAGATTTCTAAGGACCCTCCCTTTTTCCATTTTACTGTACTTCATTATAATCACCACATTGTTTCCTGCCTTGGTAAGGTATCCCACTAGATAAAAATCTTTATTGGCTCAACAATTCCCTACGGCCAGTTACCAGTAGCTGCCTAAAACACTCTTTACTATAAATATCGAATCGTAGTTATAGCATGAAACATTAGCTAGAGTGGTTGTTCTATATGATCACCAGTTCTACGCCGATATACCAAGTACACTTACCATCAGGTATGCCACCTAGACCAGCGTAGCACCACCCTTACCGAGGGGGGTCGGACGCTAGGCTCCGGTCCGCACTCTCAATCTACCATAAGCGTGGGAGACTTTGAATGGTCTAGTGTTTCCAGACAGACGCCGAACGACAAACGGTTAAGAAGAGCATAGGACGAAAGAAGACGCCAGGCCACCGCGACACTAATAACAAGGTACCCAAAGCGATTGCTTTTTGGGTAGTGCTATATGGCCTTCCCCTTTGATTGGCAACAGGGCCTGTTCCGCGCCAAGACCAAGCAGAAGCCTAAGCAGGATACTATTTATTATCCCGGGGTATATGCAGGTACAATGGACTATCACGCAATTTCGTATTTCGAGAGGTGTGGGTTACTTCCTGAGGCGCTCATAGCGTCGCACAGCCATCTCCGAAACTGCCAAACCGCAACACTCTATATTGACATTCGACACCAGGATGCGAAATTTGAGCTGGTGTTTTCAATAGCACTTCTAATACATTCCTAGAATATGCAAGCAGCCCTGTTGATATGCGCGTTCTAACAAAATATATAGATAACTTTTCTCTAATACCTAATCTATATACTCGAAGGCTAGACTACAATTATAACGTCGATTTATATAGACTTATATAAATTAGTAGAAGGGAGGCAATAAGAAGTATAAGCTAAAACCTTTACCAGTCAAGCCGCTATAGCTAGGACAATATAACTAGTAACTATCAGTAATATCCTTATACATAGGTAGATCTAACTAGCTCTTCGAGTCTCGAGGTAACGCGCTACTACTTATAAAAATACTTACTGGCAGGCCTAAGCCTCGATAATCCACATGAACCAGTTGCTAGGCCTCGTCCGAAGAATGCTCCTGTACTATCCCTCTGCTCTGTTCAACGAGCACGCCATACTATACACAATGAATAAAATCAGCCACGTACAACTGTCCTAGATCTGGATAATGGAGGGCTCTTAACGACACTTAAGCAAGGATACTACTTGCTTGAATGTATAACCCTAAGATTAGATTGGGACACGGTCACTACAAACAGACCATGATAGCATGACCCGGTTACAGGTTATAGCATTGAAATGCTCGAAAGTGGCTGAACCTGAGGGATTGAAAGAAGTAAGGGAGACGCTGGTTAGAGGGGAAGAAATCAGTAACTACCTAGTTAGTTTGGCTTGCCTATTCCCATCGCGCGGGCCGAGCGGGAAGTTTGGAAATGTGCTCTCATCACGCCGCTATAGCACTAACCAAGGCTCTGTGGTGTTTCGGAGCCCTAGGACCGTCAAGTTGTCGATCTGTACCTCCTCTATAGCGATATGTTGCTATCACCTCGATAGGGCTGGATGATATGGTTTCGCAAGGGAATATAGTAAATCTATCCGTTATTATATATAAATTACAGTAATATATATGGTAATGTTAATAAGAAAAGATTGGGCGCTGTTCTACCCTGGTCCGGTAGGGCATAGTGGTACGCTGGTAGTAAGTTGATTAGCGAGCATAGATTTCAGTAAGCCCTACGCCCTACCAACACTCAGGCCACCCTTTCTATCATTAACCATCCAGATCTCCAATCCTTGGTGCTAGCGAGCATGATAATATCGCAGAGTAATACACTGCTTGCCAGGTCAGAAATTCCCTTGATCTTTTGCTAGCATAATTTTGGTCTGCGGTTTGACTGTGGTTGCTAGTAGGCCAGACCCGGCGCTAAAATTAGCAGTGCAAAACGGCCTGGCCGTTGTTCACACGGTGGATGCCATATTCATTAGGCGAGTGCGCAATACTTTATATGGACTGGCAACTGGCTACCTAAATTCAGCAACTCTGGACTTACTATAGCACACTATGTAAATCCATGCAATTGTGCAAGAACTCGACACGTGTGGCCCTGGTAGTTGCCAGAGTTACTCGCTGGTGTGTTGCTTGTTCGAATGTGGGGGTAACCAATGATCCGCGACAAGGCATTGGTAGATCATAGCCTTCTTTGAAGAGGCATCGTAGCGAGGCATTTTTCGTCCCGTGACGAGTTGTGGTGGCTAAGCCCTCTAGACCCGAGATAGCAACACCACGGAACAGCCTCACAAAAGTTCACAAGGTGATAGTGAAAGCGGCAGACGAGGCCATTTATACATAGTATAGGTAGTGTTCGAGAGCTGGTGCAATCAGGCTAAATACTTTCCAGTCCTTACTTTGGGATCCGACCAAGACAGTAGTGGCAATACACGGACTGAGGCAGGAAGCCGCTGTGTACAAGCAGTAAACTATTAAGGGAGTAAAAAAGGGAATAGAGCAATTAGAGAGTACCTAGGTAATGGAATAAGCGCTTTCACATAGCCAGTAAGTCATTAGTAAGAAATACACATAACATACTGCAAGTATCTCCTCCTATGCTGTGTTCACTATCTTCCCACGATTAATTATACTCTACATTTTGATTGTTAGGTATTCTAGCAAAGCGGACAAAATACACACTTCAAGCTTTGTATAAATAACAAGACGTATGGTTTGTAATTATACGCCACGCTCTATTTTATAATACTGCTTGAGGATTTCTACGTGTCGAGTAAGAGCCACATTCTGTTATAGGACATTGTTTCTTTACCTAGACTGATCGAGACAATTCGGCAATAGGGTAGTGCAACACTCTGCTACGCCAAGTACGTAGACTCATAATACTGGCAAGGCCACAGCCTAAAGATCGATTCAAAAGTAGCGCGAGATTCTCGTATTTGCACGGACAACAGCGCTGAAGATAGCAAAATCTAGGCCGTGGTAGTATTCACTTGTACCCGAGACTCGCTCGCGCATCTCTTATCCCTTGCTGGTATGTAGCCAACTGGCGAGAGAAGGGCAGAACAAGATAAGGCACGTCGGCTGTACTCACCACTGTGTATTTACAGATTGAAATAGCTGCCTCCTTAGACGTAGAATTTCCACCTCTTTGACCAAATTGCGTGTCTTGAAGGCAGGCAAAGCAAACTGCCAGGCCCGGCGGACATATTGATAACGCATTTAAATAGTTGAGCGATCGCAAAGACCAAAAGTGGAATTTTAGGGCGTACATATTCAAAGATCGGGTCAGCATTGTATTAGGTCTAACGCAAAGATTCTAGTAGAACCCTGATATTCCTAGTTCTTGGGGGGAGGGGGCAAGGAATCGAAGCGTGACGAATAACCAACTCTATAATCCATTTCTGCTTCCAACCGGCAATAACTCAGATGCAAAAGGAGATCGTGGACATCAAAGCATTAGAGAGAAGCCTTCATGTCATAATGCCGTTCGCTCCGAAACAATGGACGTATTAGATCTTTGAAGAAATAGAAGCCAAAATATGCAAGGTTGAAATGAAGGAGGGGGAGGGGAACTCAAGGGGGCGTGTGCTTAAGCCATGTACCAACTACCTGTTGGTAGCGCTCACATCGATTGGTCGCCAGAGTACCATTATATTTATTTAACAAGGATGACACTGACGGGCGACCCTTTGCTGTAATTGTCTCGTGGATTACATGGGAGTGAAATAACCCTCCAAACTGTGTATTACTTGCTAAATATTTGCAATAATCGTGTTTGTACCGTGGTTGCCAAATACTAATTGGCTGCCTCCTGTGTATCCCGCCCTCAAATTGATGTTACTTACCAAGTGTCTATAACAAGTTGCTGAGAAGAAACAGATCGCCAGCTAGCGGTGGCCTTGAAAGGCTGAATGATTCCGGTAATGCCACATCTCCAAGCTCACTATAAACACGGGTTATACTGGATTATGATATAAATAGAATCGCTGTCGCCCGCGCATGTCGTTTCGTTTCAGGTGCAGACCTGAGTCTGTCACGATTGACAAGCTCAGCCTCGCGGGGTTGGTCACAGATGGTGCGGGTGTGTGTCCATTACGTCCATTACTAGTTGACAATGTTTCACGTTGTTTCGAGCTGACAGACGGCTTGATAACTTGGGGAATACTGACATTATTAACAGCGAATAAATAGCAATATTGACTGATAAAGAGTGAAGTAGTTAACGTTAATTAGAGCGACTGTCAAATGGAATCTCCATGGCTGGGGGTTTGATAGGCACTGGGCAAGCTGGGTTGCGCAGAGTCGTCAAGGTAGTTACTGTACGTGCCACACCGATGCCAATGTTTCGGCTCTCGGGCTGGCTTCCGAAGAGCTTGCCAATCGTGACATAATAAAGGGATGCGTTTGTTTTCACGGTAGACACTACTAAAAGTTCTTAGTGAGTCGTGGTGCGTAACTATAGAACCCCTGCGCTATAATGGATCGTGCCATATCTTTTTTGGTTTATTATCATGGGTTTTTAGCCGTATCTCGCTAATAGTTACTTAGTCCTCGGTCGAAACAGGATAGGTGCAACTGTGGTTCGACACGTTTTAGTTAGTTAATAATGTATGCCTGCGAGCGGCAGTTAAAGCGAAACGTGAGGTAGTAGAAGGGAAGCGGTTGATAATAAAAATGACATCATCGCGAAACCAGGCAGGCTTGTATATAGTACTGAATGTCATCGATGTATTAAAATTTCATGACTGCATGATTGGGAGATTACAGGGTGAAATCTTCGCAGCGCTTTCGCACCAGGTGGGCTGATCTTCAGTGGACTCTAATAATACGTACCAGGATCTACAGCAACTTCAGCGGACTAATCCGTACATACGCTCGGGTTCAACGTGGTTTCGCAGATAGATGGGCTGGATTTTCGGCCGAAGACTCTTGGCTCGTTCATGAGGTGCATGCCATATTTGCTTGCGACTGAGAAATGTATAGAAAGTGGCGGTGCTGCCATTTTTAAGATCGGAAGAGCTGAGAGGCCTGTTACACCCTGCCAGGTCTGATCCTGTATTGGTAGTTATGGTTTTCTGAGTGTAACGTGTAACTCTGTATCAGCGCGAACGTCCATTCAACACTGCCAACAAGACTGAGTGTTGGCGGCCCAATTTCGGCTCGTCGATTACGAGCCCTTCCAACAGCAAAAGTTTTAAAGTTGGCCGCATTCCATGTCCCAGCCCAGCCACCTTCGGCGGAACCGAATTCCAATGCCCGAGCAACACTGTCACCCAGCGGGAAGCTGAAAATCCTCGGCCCACATTGTACATTATACCGTTATACTGGAGCCCTACACCCTGAGACCACAAATTGAACGCTCGTCATTCTACCTCGCTATGTATTTACCCTTTTCTATTTACCCTTTTCTAGTTATTCTTGGCTCCCAGAGACGTTATAACTATAACTTATTGATTTTAGCACCCTCAGCCAAAATTTATTATTAGTATTGACACCGCAAGCATATAAAACAAGCTGCCAGGACCTGGGTAAGGTCTGAAGACTTTGATGAACTAAGATGGACTACTCTTACGTCAAGGTTATGCAGCATCGACTGATTTGCATGTTTACCTATGCGCAATATTGCCTGTCCAATTGTCGTCCATGGGAGGCATAAATAGCACATGGCTCGGGGCCGTGCCCCAGCGTAGTTGTGATAAAAACAGCCTAGCTGCCGAACAAGCAGATGCTACCATATTATCTTGAGGCCCAAGCACAGCTGAATATGGAAAGCAAGGCGAGGTTGCATGGCGTACTCGGGCCGGGTTGTACGGTGCTGTGGTTGCAATAGTCTACAGTATTTCTACAAATTCCATTATTACAGCTTATTATTACGATTCGCAATGGCGCTGCATTACCGACTAATACCCTCGGAACTTCACAGGACCTCCAAGCTGACAAAAGCTGCGAGCCAAACTATTTATCCGAGGCTCATAAATACGCTATGCCGTCGAAGGTATTCAAGATTATTTCTGCGACTTGTGTTGCAACGATACGTCAGCACGACTTCACAGAACCTCGTCAATTTGTCTTTGCAAAATCAGTGCAAGTCAAACGTTTGACCGAGTTGGTTGCATTTGAATGCCGAGCTGAGAAATAGTGGGAAATCGCGAGGGTGGTGATCTATGACACGATACGACGGATGAAAGCTTTACACCTTGAGATGAACTCGGTCTCTGTGAAGCAGGCCGTTTTCTTGTTTCGCATGTTGTCCTAACTAGGGCAGCACCAGCCACTGCACGCGCCCTTGCATATGCTGGAGACGCTTCGTGGCACTGCCGAGGCACCATTGGATACGCGAATTGTTACAAACAGTCACGCAGGTGAACCCTGCTTCAATTCGTATCATCTGACTTGAGTGCAGTCGCGGGTGCCAGCTGTACGGAGTAGGAAGATGGCAAACTTGCCAACTAGTACTACAAATTACTAGTTAACCAGTCAATTGCCTGTCATGCCCGCAGTGAAATGCCAGGAAGGTCTTCAAAGGACCGAAAAAGGCCGTCGCTAAATAGCGGCAGTCAGGCACGCACCATGGCAGCTCTTTACGCGTCTCAGACGTTACGCGGGCAACGACAAAGACGCAGTTCATCCCGTAGGAATAATTATTAAATAATTAAATAATTAAAGCAACTGTTTTGGTATCAAGAGACAATCGTATGGGCACCTGCTCCACACCTCTCTCTCGTTTCTTCCCGTTGCACAGTTTTGCGCTGCATCATGTGGCCAGCGCCAACTCAGTTACCACTACTCTGTACTCTGGACACGGTACCAGTGCAAATGATTTTCAAAGCAATGCCGGCATGGCTATCCCGCATAAAGTTGACGCTTGGCTTTGCAGCCACGGAAATTGCCATTGCTTATTTTACCGGCCCCTCCCTCTCCATGATAGCCTTGCCCCCTCCACGCTCTGCTGGAGGGATTTCATCATGGCTGAACCTTGAAAGTTGGCTACTATTATGCGGCCGCCTGTCGCTGACCGTGCGCGCGTGCATTTCAAAGCATGGGAGGCGAGATGCACAACTGCTGAGAAGGGCGGAGAGAAACCTCAGGCCAACCCCTTTATTACAACGCCTTGTCGCTTGGTTGTATTTCTCCGTCACACGTGGCGCAACATGCACCTCAAAATAGGCAATTGAAACACACCCATCGCAGCAATTAACTTGAAATAGGGTCGTCCCCGTTTGCGCCATACTACATGGGCACGGGAATAATATAAGACGACATGTCTTGACAGAAGGCTGATGGATGATGACTACAGAGTGCGATACGTCTCCAAGTGAGAAGCAAAACAGGGTTCAAAGATATCTCAGATTCTGCGCATGTGTCTCTCATTTTTTGCCTGGTCTCTTGTTTCTCCTGGCATGTTTCTGCAGACTGGCGGGCAGATCAAGAGTGGGTTCGGGCGTGTCATGACCGTTGGAGGTTGGGGGGTTTGGACGCGAACAACACAGCCCCTTGGCAAGATGACGAAAGCGACATCCTGTACCTTGCCGATCCTTGCAGCAACATGTCCGCTGTGATGTAATGCCCCTTTGTCTTTCCAGATCGAAGTGCCAGTAGCCCCGATAACGCCAGTGCTTTGTGTGTCAAACTCCAGCAGGGGTGCGATGGACGATGGACTCGAAATTCCTGGAGGTGGGCATCTCCGGAGTCCCACCAGTTTCATTGCTTGACGTGGTTCCTGGGCTTGCGGAGCCTCGTGGTTTCCATGATGGCGAGCCGTCAGGCATCTCTCCCCTTCTAACCAGTATGTTGCGCCACTCATATATCCCATGTTGGATATTGGCTCGCCTTACGGAGTACTTGGAAGGTCTAAGTTCAGGGCGGCTACAAATGATACTGGACAAAGAGGCCAGTCACTCCTGTTAACTACACACAAGTTGGTGACACCAGGTTCTTTCTTCATGATTAAAGTCTGACCTCGCGGCTCAACCCGCTCTGCACTGTTGGATGGGACGCAGGCACGCGAGAAGCACATGCTGCAGTGTGGGCTCCTGCGTCCATTAAGCCGGCGTTGTATTTAGTGCCCATTTTTTCTCGTGTTGTGCAGCATGCGATTTAATGGCCGCCGTTTCTCAGCTCGGATGGGTATCTTGTTCCTGCAAATTACAAAAGGGGCTTGGAGTTGCTCCGGCCTCCAGGTCCGTTCCCCAGCTCGGCGTCAAGCCCACGTTCCCCCACTGGGCTAGGCCTGCATTGTCAGAATATGAATACATGGGTGATGCGCGGGCAGAAGCGGGAGAAGGATTTTTTCGAGGCGAAATGGTACCAGAGGGCTTTTTCTAAAAAGTCGTAGCACCAAAAAGGTGTGAGTCTTGGTGGATCAAGTGGGTGGTCATGAGATCCATGTTTTCTGGATGCTGTGATCGCCGGCTAAAGAGCCATTGTCTGCGCCGCCAAGTTGTTTGGGCGTGGGCTGAAGAAGAGGAAAGGGTCCTCGACTGGGGGGGTGGCGGAGAGTGAATGTTTGCCGTATCCGCAACGGATGCGCGCATGAAGGGGAGCGAATTGGTTCGCTGTATTATTTTATCAAGACAGGCTTGGTTATTACTGGATAGGTAGATTCGTCCGCCTACCCGTGCAGCTGCCCTTAGCCCTGGTAGTGGCTAACAAGAGACACCCCTCCGCCAAGGGACCGCGGCATGCTACTGGTGCTTCTCTTTTCGTTAGCCAAACGTGAGGCAAAGAATGAGCACCGAACGTACTGATAGGCCGTCGAGCGGGAGGCGGAAAGGGCGGAGAGGGAGGAGCGGAACCGGTTGGTGAGATCTGATTGAGGCATGCGGGTAACGAGAGGGTTGGCAGAGAGAAACAAAGTTGTAATCTCTGCTGATGATGGTGTGGTTGAAGTTGGAACAAGCCCATGATAAGCTGAGGGAGGAGAGGAAGAGAAATCTAAATATACTCAGCGAATGCAATGCAACGTGGTTGAACAGTCCAGCAGTGCAGCCAGGCATTTAAAGTGTCGAGGTGCAGAGGGATGGATGAAGCACCAAAGATGGGTGGCGTCTTAAGTGTTGATGGCGCTCAGGGCTTGCAACGGGTACCGAGTACATGAGGCTATCCAAACTGCAAGGGGAGTGAGGAGGAGGATGGATGCCGGGAGCGCCGTCAAGGCTAGTTACCAGTTCGCAGTTCCGAATGGGACTGGTAGCGTAACGTTAGCAGAGAACCCGGCGGCAGCCAGGCTGTTTCTGTTGGTGCACGGATGAATTGGGCCGGATTGGTGGGTTTTCGCATAAAGGGAGACTTGCCATTTTTATAATTTTAGTTTTTTAGTATCCGTAGTTACACAGCCCGGCTTGAAGTTATTCTTGTCGACTGACAACCGAGTCGAACTTGTTAACATTGTGAGCGCGTCTGTGCAGTGCATGGACATGGATAAGCTGAAGCGTTGGAACAGGATGAAAACTTGGAAGTGGTCGCGCCTGCAAGGTTCAATGCGAGTTGAAGATTGGAAAACAAGACGGCGAGACGATCAAGAGACCGGTGGACGATGAGATTGGTACTCGAGCGTCAGACCGCGTTGCACTGATCGGGCAGGATCAGCAACCACAAGAGTGCATCGAAGTGTTTTGTTCACAAGTCGCCAGCAACAAGTTGGATTAAATAAGCAAGCGCAAGCCAACTATTTCTGCATCCATTTTTATTCACGCTTGTGCCTGGTCGAGCGCGCCCACGGGGATATGCATTGAACTTGCACATCTGGGCTGGGCCGCCCCATTCTTCTGGGCCGGTACCTGGCTAGCTGGCCACTGGCACGGGCAGCACTGGCCCTGGTTGGCTTCTTTCACTTTTCACTGTACTGGGCAGCCTTGTCCCCTGTAACACGGCATCGGCAGTGTCTTGAATGAGAAGCGTCGCTCCGTTCCGTCAGCAATTTTATTTGGAAGAGCACCATGGAGGCAATATTTGCCTTCGTCTCGCAATTCTGCAATTTCCTTGTCGATATTATCTTGTCAGCGCCATCCGACCAATCTCTGTCGGCAGTTTCTTGCGCATCCCATTGTAAATACAGCGCACACACCCCCTGGAGCCCCGTAGGAAGGTACCTTGGCTCTGAGCCTTGCTGCCACCCCTTGACTGCGCCGGCCCTGAGCCACACCCTCCCACGCCACCCTGACCCCCTGTACCTCTGGTAGCCCCTCTTTGTCCTGCCAGCAGCCAAACAAGCACTAACAAAATCAGTCCCCCCCCAAAAACCCCAGTCATTAAACTGGCATGACAAGACACGAGAAGAGCACTGACAGCGCTCCTACCCAATGCGCCGCTTAAACCCAGCTCTTCTCTCTCCATCCTCGTACCCTCGTAGTTGGTACCTCTTGTCTTGCTCTTGCTCAAACCTGGGGAGCACCAAAAGACCCCCCATCCACACCCCCCAGCTTTGTCCTCCTTCTTCCTCATCCTCACCACCAACCACCAACTTCTCTTTCTTCCTCCTCTTCCTATCCGTTTCTTCCCATTCTCCCCTCCCGCGAGCCTGTCTTGGAAGATCTGCCCACTTCTCTCTGCAGGCTCGACTCTCGCACACCCTTCCATCCGGCCTCTGTTTGTTCCCAGACCTCCTCACACACACACGCCACCCCGGCAAGGACGCACGCACACACACCACAGGGCACACACCACACACCTCGGCCACTACCTCGCTTGCTCTCTTCTACTTCTGCTTCTTCCCTGCTCACTCTCTCACACTCAACTTTTCTCTCTTGCTCCCTCTCGACCTTTGCACACAGCCTGCTTTGTCTCTCCATATTACCCTTGCGAGCCCCCTCGATCGTCGAGCCTGGGCCTCGCCTTGCTTTCTGTTCTTGCCCGTTGCTTGCCCGTTTGCCCGCTCGCTCACTCGCTCACTCGCTCACTCGCATCTCTTTCGTTCACGCCAGCCCTCGTTCTCTCACCTAAGCAGCCTCGCCATTGCGCTTTCAACTGTTCGCTCTACTCTGCGCCTCTCTTGTAGTCGCCCAAGCCAGTTGCTCCTGCCACACTCGTTTTGCCTTATACCCTCCATTCGTTAGCTCTGTTCCTACCGGGAATTGCGCCGGACTCATTATCGGCGACTCTTTCGCAACCTCTTTGTGTGCCAACTTCGCATCACGACCTACCCGACCTCGTTCCGCCGCCATCTACAGCTCAGCCCATCGCTTGTACCAACCAATACTCAACCATCAATGCCGAGGTGACTGTATTCGAAGCCGCAATGGATCAGTCGCACAATCACCAGCTCCACGGGCACTCCTCCCCACCACTGCCAGGGCAGCAACAGCAACAGCACGACTCTCAGCTCGACCCGCGCGCCCAGGACGTTCTCGCTGAAGCTCGAAAGAACCTCCAGGTTCTCATCGACTCGGGTATTTCCAAGGACCTGCTTCACCAGTGGGTCGAAGACAGCCCTCCTCTACAACTTAGCTTTCCTATCCAAACCACGCTCGCCGCCACTCAGCAGCCGAACGTCCTTCAAGTTCCTCCTCAACCTCAGGGGCCCCCGCCGCCGCCGCCTTCGCGCTCGCCGTCTACTCTTCCTTCGCATAGCTCCTTTTCCTCGAATACCAGCGCGTCTTCTCCCTCGACGGCCTCATCGACGCCCACCCCCACCGGCGGTGTCCACACTGAGATCAAGACTGAACCCAGACACGACACAGCGACTCCGACATGGAATCCCGCCATCCATGGCTCTTCTGCCGCAGGCCAGTACATGACCATCCCGGAGCAACCCGATACCAACGTCTTCCTGCCGCCCTCGTACCCCTACGCACACCGCACTAGGATATCCGTTTCATCCACTAGCTCTGGTTCCTCCGGCCACGCTTCGCTCTGGTCTGTTAATTCAGCACGCTCCTCCATGTCCTGGCAGTCCGGTACCAGCAACCGCTCCATGGCCCCCCCTCTCACCTCGGCCAGCGGCGCTCCAGTCATCAATGGCTCTCAAGTGACGCCCTCGAGCGGTAACAAGCAAAACGTGTACTGGTGTACCTCGTGCGAGACCAGCTTCAAGCGCAAATATGACTGGAAGCGACATGAAGATGAATTCCATGAGCGCTGGCGCAAGTATCCTTGCCCAGAGCCAGGCTGCAACCGCAGCTTCTGGGGCTCCAACTCGTTCAACCAACACCACAAGCAGTGTCACGGATGTAAAACGTGCCCTCATGCCGAAAAAGTGGTCAAGTTTCTGCGAAAGCGCAAGTACTGGGCCTGCGGCTTTTGCTCCGCTCTTCACCCTGCCCGCGAGCGTCACGTCGAACACGTTGCCCGACACTTCGAATCCGGTCTCGGCAAAAACGACTGGATGCACTCGCGCGTTGTCTACGGCCTTCTTCATCAACCACTAATCCACACCGCCTGGGACACGTTAGTTGCGGAGAAGCACACCTCTTATGGCGGCAGGCGCCCGCAGTTCAGTTGGCACCCCAGCAAGACTGGCCGAGCCCAGGGCTTCCTAGAGAAAGAGAGCCCAGGGCAGTTGCAAGATTTGCTAGAGTTCTTCTCCGGCGATGAGGTCGAGGCTCAGTGGATCGTATCGGTCGCGTACGACCTAGCAGATGTTGTCATGACCAACAACGGGAATCTGCAGTCTCCCAATCCTCCACCGTCTCAGCAGGTGACTGGGTCTCAGCAACAACAGCAGTTTTCCCAAGACAGCTCCTTTGGCCAGATGCGACCACCGTCACTGCTTCCGTCTAGCACCACCAGTGATCAAGCTTCATTTGGCACGCCCCAGTTCCGAACACCAACCGTGTTTCCTGCCACACAACAATTCCAGATTCCTCGTCAATCACCAGACTCGTCGTCTAACTCGCCTCTCACCATGTCTCCTCCCGTACTCACGTCGCAAACCAACAACTACGAGAAGCGCGAGCTTCCTCCGCCACCGCCACCACCCGGCAACGGCGATGTCATGATGGACTTTGAGTACTCCCCCGCCCCAGGTGGCTTCGGTGACTGGGCCTCGATGACCAACTCCATGCTCGCAAGCACACCCTCACAGTCGGGACAAACCCCTACACCACAAGCTGGTGACTGGGGCATGATGGGCTACTTTCCCGATCCCCGCGTCACATCTGCTTAAATACCCTGGCAGTTTACTTTTTCTTATATTTGTTCCAACATACATACACCCAACGGCAATAGCGCCATCATTTCTTTTACGAATTCTCGAATTTCTCGGCATGAGGTATCGCACCTTGCATCTCTATTCTCTTTCACCATGTTACTATGGGGCAAGCCCCCTTCCACTTTCCTTGATGACTCTATCGACGTCGACGTCTAGACAGACACTTGCTTTAATACCGCGCGCATCTTGCTACCTCTTCATATACACCATGTATAGATAATGACTAATATCCGCTGCGCTTTGGGGGAAAATTGCCGGTATGGGATGTTTCCTTTTGGGGCTACTTGGATCCGACAAAAGTCATTTTTTTATTTCGGATTATACGGGACCTTTTTTTTCTTATTTTCTTGGGAGGTTATCTCAGACTTTTTTGCACTGGGGCTTTGCATTTTGGTTCGGCACTTGGCAGAATATAGGTGATTTTTTTTTGTTGTATATTAGTGTAGGTAGAGAGATCATTTTCACAAAACACTCTACACTTGCTCATCCCCATGAACGTGACTAGGCCCATCTTAAACAGTCGTATCTGACAAGAAGGTCGACTGATTTTGTTCAAATTTTAGTACGCCTGTTCAGCAGCCAAGACCCACTTCAACACGCAAAGACTGTCTGTCTTCAGGGTGCTTCTTGGCACTGATTTAACATAGACTGAAACCGAGTTACAAAGGTTTCTTTGTTTTCTCATCCGTCCTCGTATTAAAGGACGTGTTTAACGACGGTTGCAGACAATATACCTCGGGGCTCAATTTCGTTGTTTTCTCTTCCATCCTCGTATAACAGTACATGTTTTAAGACGATTGTGACAAACAGGCAAGATGCCTCGAAGCGCTATTTCGTTGTTTTCTCTTCCATCCTCGTACAACAGTACATGTTTTAAGACGATACTGACAAGCAGACAAGATGCCTCGGACCACTATTTCGTTGCGAATCACAATAGCTGACACAGCCGGAGGTCTTTTGAAGTGGCAACTGGGACAAATATAAATACCACCGGGGAGCTACCTCAAGCTAGGTCTTCTTTCCAACATTCACAACCACACTTGTTACCACCTTCTTCTTCAACCCTTTGGCTTCTGTTTAGCGCTGTCTCGCCGACTCGGTTACTGATTTGGCATCAAGTTTGCCCAAGGACTTGACTTGCACCGGAGCCTCTACCACGCACAACTCATCCAGGGCACGTCGGGGAGCAACGACTGGAGTTTACCCCTATCCGAGAAATACGGCAAGATGTCACGGCAGAATGACTGCCCGTACAGACATGGCTATACAGGGTGGAGGACGACGATAATCGTACAAGCCCCCGGACCAGTATATCAAGAACCCCTTCAAAGGGTTCCTGAAAGCCGCCGTCTTGAACCATACACGCGCTCAGACTCGCACACATACCCGGACTCGGACTCATCGATAAGCTCTCAGGAGCTCGTAGATGATGGGTGTTGCCCAAGGTGCACCAGAGTACCGTTGAGAATTCGACTCGAAGAGGCCCAACACTTTCCCCCCCTGTGTCGGGCGCTCCCTGATTGGAAGCGCCGATGCCCTAGGTGCCACAGAACACCAGAGGAAGCATCCCGCTTACATGCCTTGGGCGCCCCAGAGAGCCCCCTGTGCAATGTTCGACGAGGCACAAAAATCGATTTCTCTCGCCGACCAGGCTCCTCCGCGTGCGATGAACCACTCAGTTCCGTGGCCCCTTCTCGACCAGGCAGCAACATGTCCTCTCGCCGATCTGAGAGCAACATGTCCTCTCGCCGATCTGAGAGCAACATGTCCTCTCGCCAATCTGAGAGCAACATGTCTTCTCGCATCAGTAAACTAGAGAGCGAAATGTCCGCTCTTCGAATGGACGGAGCTATGGTTAAGTCATCTCGTCGATCAGACACCTCCAGCCGTCAAGGCAGTTCTGTGTCTTTTCGTGCTGGACCAGATAGCATCGTCTCCTCAAACGCTCCATCCAAGGCTAGTCGGTCGTCCAAGGCTAGTCGGTCGTCCAATGCATCCTCTGCCACTGTTCGGGCGGCTGCGTCTGATTCTGGGCTCTCCTCAACCTCTTCAGTGGCGCGCTACAAGAGATCACTTCCGCTAGCTGTGCAGAAATTACTTGACTCGGTGCCCGAAAACTCGGTGGCGGAAAGCTCGGTCTCATCTAGGTCGATACCGACACCGGGCCACGTGATTGGCGAGGTGGACGAGGATGACGAAGTGTCCGTTGCGCCGTCAAGCTCTGTCAGCAACTGGTCCAAGAATGAGGCCAAGGCAAAGAAGAGGAGCGGCGGCAGCAAGATGTCCAAAAGCAGCAGCAGCAAGATGTCCAAAAGCAGCAGCAGCAGCAGTCGGCGCTGAAAGCAATCGTTTCGTGGAGGGGTTTCATCCAGGATCTATGCCTTCTTGGCTTACATTCACCAAAGGGATGAACGAAGCAGCCGGACGATATGGAAAGAGTGGACAGATTGTCCGTTCGCCGAAGGGGATGAATGAAGAAACTGCATGATGTGTGGAAAGAGTCGCTAGATTGTGTCCTTGGGGGGATGTTTTGGCCTGGTTTGCTGGTTTCTGACGGCTACACCTATACACGTGGGTAGCTAAATAGTTAGTGATGGCTCCCTTTTGGGAGTTTAGCGTACTTAATTTACCTTTTGTGAAAAGGATATTCAACTTAGATTATGAAATGAAACATCGACACTCGTCTGTCAAGGGCCGCTTCAATACTGCAGCGACCACTAAGGGCCGCCGCTCGACTTTGCGCCTTGCTCAGCGGGGAGACAAACAGTAATGTTCTCACAGCATCGGTACAGAGCCGCTTTTCCTGAGACATCGGACGCGCTCTGTTTCATCCAACATTGTTTTCGTACATACAATGACAAAGAATCTCAACCGATCATAGCCCCGTGACCACCACGCCCTTTTAGCATGGAGCTCCCTCAAAAATCGACCGAGTCTAGGGAGTTTCTGTGGCACTATTCTCTATCTGGGTCCTCACATTTCTATTCTGCCAACTACCAAGTATGCTAGTATTGCTGCGAGCCGGCTAGGTATTTTCTATGTTGCCTCGCAACATATATTGGCCAGCGACAGGCATGTCATTCTCAAGTGTGCCTGTACTTATTATGGCAGTCCAACCTCTGACTCTCTTTTTGTCATCGCATGGCGAGCCTGCGCAGGAAAGTTGAGCGCCAGAATATTGGCTGAAACGGTCGCGCGTTTTTCGCTCTCACGTATATTGGCATTCGTATCAACCCATTTCCCCCGCTTTACATAAAATTTTTGTCCTCTCAACAGTTGCAGTCCATTGGGGTCAAACTACCATGCTACTTGCTGACTATCCTACGTCTCTTAGGCTGCGCCAAGGTAACAGGCACAGAATCCTGGTGAACCTGAGCAAGCAGCTTGTACAGCGTCTGAACCGCATAACATGTAGGATTCGCACATTTCCCAGCCTGGTCCTGGCCTGTTATCGCACCAGCACTTGTCATGACAAACATTCGCGGTAATTGCGACACCGCAACGAAACGTATCGTTGGACCATACCGGCGTTTGTCTGCAGACGTAGCGCGCTACTAGACTGGCTTGGGGGGCTGTCAAGTGTCAGATTTTCGGGTGTCATAGGTGAGGCCATGCTTGAACGCTTACCTAGGCTCAATATGGTGGAGTTGGAACCATGATCGAGTGCAGCGGTAGCGGTTGTGGTAGGCGAGACTTGCAAGTTGACATGATCGATCGCCGAGTGCAAATGGTACGGATCAACCTTGGCACATTCAGCGGCGACAGCGGCTAGCAAGACCCAAGAGATGTGCATCATCCTGGAAGCAAAATAAACTTGCGTACTGCTTGGAAGCCAGAGAGAAGGAAACAGTTGATTGCTCTGAATGTCACGGCTGCGTCTCGCTTTATAGCCCCGACCGCTCAAGCCCAATATGAGAGGAATGAGTGAATCATCGTTACATAGCATGAAGCCTCACAGTGAATCAGAGTGCTCTGTTGCGTGAGAAGGTGTCCTGGGTATAGCTATTGCGTGACCACCTGTCATTCGGCTACCTGCCAACCACACGCTCCGAAAAAAAAAATGAGAAAGCAGTTCGGGAGCAAATTCCGTGGCGCTCCAGGCATAGAAATCACAAAAGCAATTACTTGCATATGTCAAGGCCATGTAAATCCAGGTCATCCGATTCCCAAGCCGCGAAGCAGCTCATCGACCTACCGCGCTGTACGAACACCTGACACGTCTTCACCGTATACTCCCAACCGTCTACCCCTAGAAAGTCATTGTTACAGGGCAGCAAACGTTCTTGGAGCGCGCTTCGGAGGGACGGCGTCTCTAAGGATAGCAGCTTCAGGCCCCAGACCAAGGCCACGACGGTAGCCGGGTTTGGATGACCACTCTGTCCCAGAGGGGCACCCACCGAAGCATCCAGGTCAAAGATACCCCCATCGTCATCGACGTCTATGCTGCTACTCGTGGTGGTGGGACTCAGCTCAACCACTCCCTGCCCTTCACCAACTACGAGTAGCTGCATGGCGCGGGCGCCATATCGGTAGGCAATCGAAATCGTCTTCCTCACGCCCGGACGTGGGTCCAGTACGGCCAATGCCGTGTTACTTGCGTCGAGAGTGAGCGTTTGGTTCCGCGACACCATAGCTTGAACAATATCTGTAATGTCGAGGTCGCCCTTGCTCGCGCACAGTATATGCAGACCGGGCGGCACCTCGAGCTGCTGGCCGGTCAAGACGGTAGCCGTCTGGAACTCCGCAATGGAGGGTGTGACAGCGCTTGTACCTCGGTAGTATGTCCAGCAGATGGAGAGCGATTTCACATAGCCCGGCTTGGGATCATCAACGTGGAGATTCTCGTTGGTAGCCGTGATGCTGGTATGGCCACTGGCAACAAGGTTCGCGACGCGCGCCGTCACATCCATGTCAAACCAGCTGGCGAACACAATCTGTGTCATTCCTTTTCGTGAGCCAACGTCCTCTTCCTTTTGCTGATGCTCAACGCATGGCAGCGGTGCATCGAGGTTCATCGTGACGATGTCGTCTTCTTCGCCCAGGACATGCTGTGGCTCCGAATGCAAGGTACGGCCGTCTCGGAACGCCCTCTTGCGCCATATCATGGCAAAAGCCTTGACGTCTCCGTAGAGCGGATCGCCGCCCATGGTCTCATTTTTAATGACGAATTCAAGGAGGCGGCCCTTGGAGGCACTGTGGTTATCGACCAGGCGCTGCATCCGCTTGGTCAAAACACGGGGGCCGTAAACGGCCGAAAGAACCTCGTACGTAACTGGACCATCGTCCCATGCCAATTGATGGTTCGTCGATGTCCAAGATTGTCGGTGTCCTGTTCCACTAGTTGGCATCAGACCCGGAGACACCGACCGTACCACCAACTGCCCGCCTTCGCCGAGGTGTACATCAGATACACCATGCTTTTGCATGTCGTGAAGAAGGTTCTGGAGAAAAGAGTCATCTAGTGGGTCACTGGGGGCTTCTGGAGGGGCAACCAGAGTCGACGCAGGGCTTTGTGATCTATTCGGAGGGCCATTTTGCACAGCGCTCAGCACCTCCCGTAATGTGCTCAGAATCTGCTGCTGCGAGTGTTCTGTGCGTGCGGAAAAGGAAATGTGCGAGACGGCTAGACTGCTGCTAAAGGCCGCAATGTTGCTGTTCAAAGCTGTGATGCGCAAACGGATCGACACCACCTCGCTTTCCGACCATCTGAGGCGGTAAAGGCCCCGGGGGAGCTTGGTTGCTGGCACGCGGGCGTGAAGTTCCTGAAGCAGATTGTGGGCTTGCTGAATCAAATGTTGCAAGGCAGCAGACTCTTCGGGGTCTAGGCTGCCCCCGGCGCCCTCGTCGGCGATATCGCTGGGCTTCGTATTCGGGCCTGAGTTGCTGCCAGTTCCTTGAAAGACAAGCTTGTTGCCAAGAATCTTGAGTGTAGACTCGAGACCTATAATGTCCTCGCACAAAGCGCGGTAGCGGTCCTGCGCATCGCGATATATGTAATAGAGTCGGAAAGCATCTTTGGCCAGGGCAAGAATGTCCACGGTGGCGGGAATGGCGGCCATGGTACCGAGTGAGTGGTGGGTGCTAGTGATGCTGCTCCGTAGACGAGCAATGGGTCATGGTTGAAGCACATGAGAACGTCAACCCTTTCTCAGCTCCTATCGTCACAACCCTACGGGGAAAGTACCGCGCATTGTTTGAGGGGTACTCCGTACTGGTGGATGAGGTGAGCACTTATTGACTAGTACGGACCCTGGGAGCCTTGTCGGGCCTCGCCGCCGGGGAACTCGGCCGTACCTGACTATACACAGGACCGGCTAGCGAGTAATTACCAGCTAATACTGCGTATTACTCTGTACCAGGTAGGTAGTCAATGCATGGAGACTACCTATATTAGATCAAGGGGCTGTTCCCGACACTACTACATACAGGTATGGTGTACAGAGATACTCCTCCGTACACTCGCTGCAGCTGTGCGTAAATACCCTAGGTAGGTAATCCAGCAGACAGCCTCCAGGATGAACTTGATTGTGCAAAATCTAGGCCACGTTTACAAGCGAAGCGGGACACAACGATCGCTTGCCGCCCAGTTTTCATTTCCCTACATAGTCCAAAAGGCAAAACAAGTTCAAAGCTAAAAGCTAAAATGGCATATACATAGCTTTTCCATACTCCCTACAGGTCACAGCCAGCCAACGCCAATCACAAATAATACACTTTTCATTGCTCATGGTCGTCTTTTAGAATCATGGCAAACCCAGCGTGCTCCAGATCTTTCCCTGTAGGTAGCATTGGCCGCCCTTGCATGGGAAAGGGCCAGAACAAGGGGTTTTCGATGTTTTCGACAGCGGCCTGTAGACCTGTCCCCTGGCTAGGAGAGGGTGAATTAGGATTAGGCTCAGCAACCAGGCCCGCCGTACCCCAGCGGCAGATAAAGTCTTCCGCCGTAAAATTGGGGGCGAAAAAGTTGAGGCTACTCGTGTACGGCTTGAGGAGCTTCTCGTAGTCCTCGGTGCCAGCTTTGTTGTTGCCACCAAATTCAACCTTGATGTTCCACTTGTTGGCAAGATAGCGCAAAATATTGAGGGCTTGCTCAGCGAAATGGTGACATGGAGCCATCTCAGCGAGGTCCGCGATACCTTGAGCAAGAGAATCGGATACGCGAGGGTTCATTTTGGCGCTCTTACCCATAGCGTCCGTGTCCGTAGGCACGCTACCGCTCGAGTCAGATGAAAGCTTAGTCGCGCCGATCGCGAGGTGCATTATTGTCGACGTGAGCACAAAGTACGGGACAAAAGACGGCGTCCGTCGGAGTGTGTATAGTTGCGAATACGATTTGAGCAGATTTTGAATGGCGTCGGCGGCCTGAGAGCACACGTCTCGGGGTGAAACTTTCGAGCCAATGATGCGCAGCTTAATCAGCGGCCGGAAGAGGAGCAAAATAGCAAAGTGATAGTACATGCTACCCACAGTTAGCTGGGTATGAAAATAGAAGCTACGGTCAAGCATACTGCGCAAAGAGAACTGCTGGAGTGAAGTTGTGACCCAACCGCAGTGTTTCGGGTATCCTGTCGTACCAATTAAGGTACTGATGGTAAATATTGAGCAGCTCTCGAGCTGTCAGTGGCTTTCCTGGAGAATGCAGCATGTAGAGGGATTGGTGGACAAGCTCGCTCAGCTCGCAAAAGCATTTGTACACGGATCGAACATTAGACATTTGCTCACACGATCGCTGCAGAGGTGCACCTGGGCATGTTAGCATGCTTCGAGACAGAACTGGCCACTGGGCTCACCGTTGTCCGTGTAGGGGACCCATAGAGATGACTCGATATCGGCAATGATGCCAGGTTTCATAGGCAGCCGCGCAAAGCAGGAGCTTTGCGGGAGAGAGCCGGTAGCAAGAGACCATGCGCTGTATCATGTTAGCTGAGAAAACAATCACGCGCAAAACGACATACTGGTCAAGAGCGAATGCGCCCCAAAAAGTCGCCGACTGAACAGCCATCTCGTCAATATCACCATGTTCCTGCAAAAGGTGCAAGCCCATCTCAATAGCTAGCCGGATACTCTGTCCAGAGTAATACCAACTCTCCGAGTCTCTCCCGCAGCTGGCCTCACGGATAGACATGATGCCCAGTGCCTGGATGACCGTAAGGGAGTGGTGGTCCGGCTCGGCATTGAGGAGCCGCAGGGCCTCCTTGAAGAAGTGATCTCCCGAAGAGTATGGATCATTGGGAAATTCCCTTGTTTTAGGCTGGGTAGAAAAGCGGCAACCTAAAGCAAGCAGCGCGTTGACGAGAATGGGGGAGCAGTATCGATGGCGCCCATCCTGGAAGTCCCGGAGGAAATGCTCCTTGCTCAGGGAAGCAAAAGTGGGGTACTCCCAGCAAAAGTAGAGGGCAAGCAAATGATGGACCAAATTAACGTCGCTTGTAATGTTAGACCACGTGCCGGAGGAATTGCGCTGCATCTCGGGATCGCTCAGCGGTGAAAGTACCTGCTCGAGGCCGCGGAATCGTGGAAGTTGGCTCTCATCCGTGGGCTCAATCTCCATGTTTTCGGCCCAATATCCAACTCGCGTCTGCGGGGGGCCATGGAGTTCAGAAGCCATGCTTCTGGCGTCAGCGAGAGAGTTGCTTCTTGTGGATGCCGCGGCACCAGCAGGATCGTGCGGCGAGAATTGCCACGGGGCAGATTGCCTTGGGTCGCTGTGAAAGGGCGCGTGCTGCTGAGAAGGGCTCAGGCTCATCGAGGCCATATTATTGGCTCCTTGGCCATAGTCCGCGACGGATATGATGGAGCCACGGGGCTTGTCATCAGTCGGCATGCTGGCCTCTCCAGCTTGGTGCTGTGGAAAAGCAGAGCCCTGCGCGCCGGTAGGATCCGCGTCAGACGTGAGGCTGCTGCCGAGCCAATCAGAGATGCTGTCGACCGACTGGCCATTGCGCAGTCTACCCAGAACATCTTCCCAGAGATTGGAGCGTACTAGGGCGGAAAAGACTTGATCGCTCGATCGCTGGCGATGCCGCAGCTGCTCGATTTCGCCGCGAAGGTTTTCTTTGGATTGACGGATGGGAACTTCGTAGACGCATTCGACTTTTTGGGCTCTGCAGCGTGTACACGGTCTGCTACCGTCGCACTGGAGGTTGTCTTGTTAGTGTACAGTGCTGCATGGAGCGGTTTTCAATATGCCAAAGTCGAGTAATTAGGAATGCAGCCATGAGTCAAGAATCAAACTCGGAGTAGCACATACCTTGGCGCGCTTCTTACGACATTCTGTGCACGCATTCGGTGTGACAATTCCGAGACCGCGGCGTCGTTTTGAGTTTTGTGAGCTGTGAGCGGCGGATGAAGTGCCAGCGGTCGGTCGCGAGGAGGAGGATGGAGGCTGAGGGGTAGCAGCGGATGCCGAGTCGGAGCGACCCTGGGGTGTACTACCAGTCGAGGGCTTGCTCGGCCCAGATGGTGTGCTGGCACTGCTATCATTGTCCATCGGTACTGAATTATGTGGCTACGGCCGACTGGAGCGGCAAACAAAGGAAAACAGCAAAATCTGTCGCTGGGGGGCTCGCCGACCCAGTGATGGTGGATGCGAGCGAATAGAGGTGACTAAACGGTGTTTCGGGCAGGGGTATTCGCATGAGCAATCGAGGGGACCGCGATGAGGCTGGCGTTGTCGAAAGAAGCCATCAACCCAGTCGAGGGTGGTTTTTGTGTGGATGGTCTTAGCAGCTAGCTATCGCTGTGATGGTATCGTGGTCCATATCCATCCGATAAGTGAGAAGCGCGCGAGGATGAGGCTGGTTATACGACGATATCGAGTTCGGTAAAGGGAGGACTCAATTGACGGGTGGAAGCTGGTAATCTGGTGCAAGCAAGGCCGCAGCTAAATTGAAGCGTAACTTCGTGATTTAGTCGTCGCTGTTTGCGGAGTGCGGTTTGCGGTCGTGGCAGTCTTTGAGAGCCGTCGTTGAGGGGTATGGCACAGTTTCACTGATACACGGTGAGCGAAGAGAATCCGGGCGTGATTGGGATATGGTGAAGCTGGAACTGGTTGATTGCCTAATCGTAAATGGGTGGTGCAAGTTAGAGGTGAAAGTTGAAGAGTACGGGTATGTGGGGGACATTATGGCGTGACGCTAGAGGCTACTGTCACGCTAGAGGTTACTCAGATGGTGATACTCGCCAGGAGGATGGGGGTCGGGAATTTTCGAGGTGTTTCAAAACAGTATGAGAAACGCCCGCTTGACCTAGGTATAACGGAAAATGTACTTGCCTACCTACCTAACCACAGCTACACCCAAATATTAAGGGAGAAAACAAGAGCAAAACGAGCGAAAGGAAAGACTAGGTAGGTACCTACTTATCTATGTTCTCCGTCCAGATCTCAAAACACATGTGAACCCGCAATTGTCCGAGTAGTCAATTCGACTCTCTATAATAATCTAGATAACTACCTACAAGAGTGTCGAAGCCGCTGTGATAGCTGGCCTTAACGACTACTCTATTCCAAACACCCGAGTATGGCTTCCTCGTATCCGAACTAAAGTGCCTCCAACATCGCCAAAAAGTCCCAAGTCCAGGTCCGTCGCGCTTGGCAGGTTGTCTCAACCTAGTCGTTCTGCTCACTTGGTTCTAGGTAAAATTAGCCGTTAATTATACGGCAACGATGAACTCTAAAAATCACCCGCCTCGATGTTGGCTTCCGCTTGACTGAAGGGCTTGCCAAATTGACAGAAAGAAAGGTTGTTTCTGAACTATTTTCAATTTATTACCGCTTTAAACTAGTCGCTTTAATGATAGTTCAAGGGGCGTTATCTTTACAATCAGTGTTACCGTGGATTTCCCATGTCTGTCATCGCGTTACTGATACCCTGTAATAAGTCGCGCACAGCCTGACGAGGCAGAGTGAGAATGGTAAGACTTAGAACATGCACTCTTTCGATATACACAACACTAGTAATATTCAGTTCCGGAAGATATTGACGGCGGCGAATTAATGCCGTTATTGGAGATTGTTGTTCATTTTGTGGGTGGATAGTAAATACCTTGACAAGCCGGGTAAAACGAAATATATAATCAGGCAACAACTAAATCAAGGGGCCAACCAAAAAGTAAAAACGTAATACTGCTATAAAGCAACTCGCGATTTGAGTGGTATAAAACAGGGAGAATTTTAGAGAGTAGGACGAGAAAAAGTGAGCCTGTGCAAATGTGTTGGACGTCGTTGCCACATACATATACACGATGGCTCAATGAAGAGAATACAATCCCTCTTTCCCACCTTGCCGCCTCTTGCAAGGGCTTACCCATAATGTCATGGCTGTGCGGTCAATGCGCGATGGATTACTTCCAGATCTCCATACAGCTAACCTCGCTGATTCGATAATCAGGATACGGGGGTCGGGGTGGCCATGTTGATGCGAGATCAGAGTGCTACGACGAGGCACCATCTATCGGATTCGACAGCCTGATTGAATATTTAATGCTTAGAGTATGAGTCATGTGCTAAGATATATAATACATCGAAGGTTGACAAAATAGAACAGTAGTGTTTAAAAGTATATAAACGCCATAGGTCAGTATCGTAAAGGACCCAGCCTGTCTAAGCCCAGACCTAAAACAACTCAAGAAACTCAAGAAAGAAAGGCTAGTAAACCTTGGTTGGACTCCGCAAGTGCTTGACCGGACTCCTAGCTCGCTCACCCTTACTAGGACTCTTTCGCCCGCTTGGCGTGTAATGCGGGAGCATCAGTGGCGTTGACCGTGGGAGGGAGCTGTCGGTATCAGATCCATCGTCGAGCATCGCATGTCGCTTCATACGCGGTGTCTGCACAGGCATCCACATGACGTTCGGGTCGTCACCCATACCGTTGATATTCTTTATTGGTTCACGGTTGTACGAGGCAGCTTGGCTGCTGTTGGTGTTGCGGCCAAGAATGAGATTATTCCCGAATAAGCAAAGGATGATAATGGAAAAGAAGAATCCCTATAAATGTTAAGATAGCTTTCAAGTAGTTGAGGGAAGAAAACTCACCCATGCCTTGAAATTCATCGCATCCGAAAATTCATTGATGATCTCAGCGATTTGCTTGGCAGTCACCTTGATGCGCATGATCGACTCTGGGTTCTGCACCATGCAGTCATACCATTGATCACACTGAGACTGGAAGAAAGGCTTATCGTTGGATTCACAAGAGTTATCCTTCCAGTGTTTCGTGCACTCTGCAATGGAGCTCATAATCTTCAGGCGAGCGCCTTCGTTGGCATTGCGGATGTCAGAGCGGATGGTCGAGACAATGGACCAGCCAACGCCAATGACAGTCGTAGCCACCAGCAAGTTGATAAAGAGCTGAATCCAACGATGTAGGTTCTCGGGTGCGTTAGGGTGTTCGTCGAGCATATGAAATACGGATCCCAAAAGGCCGCGTTGCTGCACTCTGCCTTGACCCTTATCGTTCTGCAATTTCCCTTCGGACCAGACAGATGCATCAGTATCGCCTTCCGACTCGTCGTGACCATGGTAGCGCACAACGCTGCCCACGTCACGGTCTAGATTATGGCGCTTCCGCTTCCGCTGCAGCGCTGAGCGCGACGGGTCTCGATTGCTCCTTATCTCGCCTTTGCCAGAACTGGGCTTTTTGTTGTGAGAAGATCGGCCGTAGCGTGCCGCCTTACTGATTTTGGTTGGCGTGATAAAGCCTCCCATGAAGATGTCGCCCATTTGGTCCACGTCTGGCGTATCGTTGGGCACGTCTGATGCTTCTGTGAGAGCGGGACTGTCCTCTGCGCCCGAAGCTTCGGAGAAAGTCGTTTCGTCGTGTGCTTTTCGCGGCGTTGTAAACGCTGGGTTACGGAAGGGAGGAGCTGCGCTCTTGGCCGGAATTTGAGGCGCGAAGCGGCTACTGGAGGGCGGCTGCGGTTTGGATGGCGAAGGAAGGCTTGCGAAGGGATTCGGGCGTCCATTTCCTTTAGAAGGGGACGAGAAACCACCTGGAGGTTGTCAGAAAAGATTGGTCGAACAGCTATAACAGAAATTGCTTGTTGGCTTGCAGGGTGGACAAGATCACGTACTTAAGCCCGAGGTTCGCTGTGCGACGTGCGTAAAGGGACTGGAGGGATCGTATTGCGCATTGCCACTGTACTCCCAGTCCATGTGCCCTTCACCGGTGCGTGGATTCATGATTGGCGATTGACGAGATTGGCTCCGAGTTGTTGGTAGTGTTGGAGTTGATCAACGGCCACCGTTGACAAGATGCGGCGGGCATAGAAGCGTCGCCTTTATTTTTCCTGAGCAACGACATGTGGCAAGTAAACAAATGCTAGGTATGTGGCTTGAGAGGGCTTGTGGTTTGTGGCTGTGCCGTCAGCTTAGGTCAGCAATTTTTTGATGGCGCTCGTTTCGCGGTGGCTGCCTGGCGATTCGTTCGGCGCAGGCTCAGCATCACCAACGAAGGGATCTGCTCCGTTTTTATGAACCATTTGACTCTACTTCTGATATCCAACGACATATAGACGGAAATATCTTCTGGTCACAACATACGCGACAGCTTGCGTCATGTCGGACATTCAGTCGCCTGTTGCCTCCCCGGCAGGAGACGACCCTCCCGTCAACGATGGCCAGGAGAAGGAACCCGAAGAGGACATGGCAGCTGTCTATTCTGACAAGGAATCCGACATACTTTCTGAAGTCGATGAAGACCAGCTTGAAGACTACGATCCCGAAACTGCCAATATTGAAGACCGGCCCGTCGACATTGACGAAGACGTCGCCCGCACGCTCAAGGTCTCGAAGCGAAAGCGTATAGAAGCGCAGCCTAAGAAGCCACGAGAGGGTCGACGCGAAAAGAAGCGTCGCGACCGCGATGACGATGTGACCATGGAGGACGGCTCTGACGGGGATCAGGAGCGCAAGCCTCGACGCCGCCGGGCCGCCGCCGAGGGCGAGCGGGCTCCTCGGGCCGCGCGGGCCAAACAGACGTCGCCAGAGCCAGAGAATGAAGACCACCTATCGCCCGAAGAACGGAGAAAGCGCGCAATTGATCGGGCACTAGACGCAGCCATCAAAAAGGGCGGCTCATCGTCGACAAGACGACGGAAGAAGGATGAAATTGTACGTCAAGACGGCCATGAAATACCACGATGTACCGCTTACCTGAAAAAATAGGACCTGGAAGACGAGATCGATGAACAGCTGGCGGATCTCAAAGTGCAGATGGAGAGGGCTTGTTTGGCCGACAACGAGGCTCGACGCGTGGGCCAGCCAGCGCTGCACAAACTTAAGCTGCTACCGCAGGTGAATGCGATTTTGAACCGCAACAACGTACAGCACGCGGTGCTAGACCCCGACACCAACTTTCTGCTGCACGTCAAATATTTTATGGAGCCGCTGAGCGATGGGTCGCTGCCAGCGTACAACATTCAGCGCGACCTGTTCACGGCGCTTACCAAGCTCAATATCGAAAAGGAGTCCCTACGCAGTAGTGGAATTGGCAAAATTGTGCTCTTCTACACCAAGAGCAAGAAGCCTGAGCCGAGCATCAAGAGGATGGCAGAGAGGCTGCTTGGAGAATGGAGCAGACCTATTTTGAAGAGGACGGACGACTACAAGAAGCGCCATGTTGAGACGCGCGAATTTGATTACCAGTACGTGTTTTGTTTCCCTTGCCCGCGTTGCCCGCGGATCTACCCTGTTGGATTGAATTCGCTAACCTTACTTGTTAGTGCCGCCAAGCTGCAGCAGCGCCAGAAGGCTGGCTCGCAGTTCAACCTCACGCAGCGTCCGGCACAGTCGGCAGCCGAGGTGGAGAGGGAGAGGATGCTGGCACCGACGCGACTCAATAATGAGGCGCGAATGGCCAGCCTGCCCTCGAGCTATACGATTGCGCCGATGAGCACGTTTGACGGCAACCGGGCCAATGACCACCGGCCTCTTGGCGCAAGCGGCATGGAGGCGTTTCGCAAGATGACGCAAAAGGGCAAGAAGCGTGGCTAAATACCTGGCGATGGAGCTGGGAACTCTTTCTTTACCCTTTTCGTTTGGCTTAAGACTATTTAGATACGCGAGCGTATCGGGCGAGTAGTGCTTAATGCGAAAGGAGGACCAGAGTGTATTTTAGGGACATTGGCGTTTGGAATGGATTTACATGATTTGCTATTACCCTCTGATAGCAGTGAAGTTGTGACTGTCGACTATTCTCATTGGCCTGCTGGTGAAGCAAACCGGAGTGCCGCTTGATCAGAGATGTGTGCCTTGTGGAGCGGGTTTAGTATCTATCTGCGCGTGATGGATGCGAATGACCAGGCGGCCGGGACTAGATTACCAAAAGTTTGTTCAGAACTCTGTTAATTGAACGGTCGGCGCTCGGTTATTTGAATGGACTGTCAGTAAAGCGACCGAACAGATCATTGGTCTCTTCTCGGGGTTGTCACCCGCGCAGCTGTTTACATCTTCTGGTCATGGATACTAATAAGGTACCTATGTAGGTAGGTCAGGTAGATACCTGTCAGTCGTCGACAAGTTTTCGCCCCCAAGCAATAATACAGCGCTGTTAAAAGCCGTGCGGCGTGCCGAGCAGACATTGCGTCATTGAACCCCCTCCATGGACCACTTCATCAGGCTACGATTGAGCAAGAGCCGAATTGATATAAAAATATACAGTATAAAACTAACCGGCAAACATCTACATAGGCTTATAGTACTCTAGAGATGTCTTATGCTGAGGTATATAGTACATATTAAAAATACCCATGCTTCATCTTTTACCGTGGTAGACTGATGCTGTACCTGCCTTAGGTAGCAAGATCTCCCAGGCACCAGGGGCCTGCCAAATACAAGGCAGGTAAAACATGCATCTTGTAGGTACCTACCTAGGTATGTATGGCTCTGGAATGCAATCTTGTCATTTCCCTTATATTATTACCTCCACAGGCCGGGCTGTTTTGTTGTTGTGCTCTCTAACAGGTATACTGACTGTCCATTGGGCAATGTCTCATGCTGCAAGCACTGTACTCCGGGTGCTGATCTAGGCACTAAGAATAGACCAAGTAGGTCCAAAATTGGAGTGCGAGGCGGACCTTCTGGTTGAAAGTATGTTAAACCACTATTGATGAATCGCGGCTGGATCCATATAGATTGTATATCCAAGATTCACAACAACTCAAACATCACTCTTTGACTGTATACATGTACTTGTCTGTGCTATAACATTTGGCGATGAGGTGCAATCAGGGAATTCCATCATCCCCACAATTTTTCTTTGCCCGCCCACCGTCTTAGTAGCTCCGCTTCCCAGGTGCTGCATGAAATTTGGAGGGGCTCTTGGGGCGCTCCCCCCCAACCGAGAGACTGCCCGATTTCTCGCTCGTCTTTTGTTTAGCCATGGGCATCATCTCTCTCGTTCTTTCATTCTGCGCCTGCTTACCGTCTGTTCCCCCTTTTGGATAATTCAGCTCCCGAAACAAAATTACCCTTGGGTCGATGATTGCACAATCGATGCATCAACCGTCATAGTCTTGGAAACGGATTAAGGTACGTCAACGACGGAAGCACAAACCCCCTCCCTCCGCCTTGCTGGGACCCCCGCGCGCACCACCTCTCAGCTGCTGCGGCGCTGTGCTGCGAGGCGCCAAACAGTGCCCGTCGTTGCATGCACAGAATGCCTCCAGGTCAATCCCTGCCCGATGCTGCCGCCGCTGCACTCTGATGGTGCAGCATGCGAGAGATGCTAGTGGACATGTTGGGTCTGCGTGCGTTACCGCAGGGCCACAGCATCTCTGCCCTTCCTCATTCACCGACTGCCCAGGTCCGTAGTGCTTGAGGTGCCAGTTGTGAAATCCTGCTCTCTCCTTTTTCGTCAGGCATCGCGTCGGGCGCTGCTATCTGCGTGTCGTGGATAAGAAACTCGTGGGCGGCCAGCTTGGGCATTGCAAGCATCTGACACATGGCATCGGCGCCAATGAGGTAATCGGCTGACCCAATTGCTTTTGCGACAGACACAGACAGTGGCTCGACCTGGTTCTTCCCTTCACATCAATTCTTTTCTTTGCACGCCGAATATACATATCAATTTTCACATCCTCATTTATACGTTTTGCGACTCTACCGACTTTCGACCCGACCGACCGGCGACAGAGTCTTGTCCGCATTTGACCGCAAATACTCGAATGGGCCTTTTCCAGTCGCCATACGCCACGACAGACCGCCTCCTGGACATTTGCGATTGACGATTTACCGGCGAGAGACGAATATAACTCATACACAACAGAAATAATCCACAGCGTGACGGCCGCACGACGAAAAGATGAATGGCAGTGAAGCTCCAGCAGAGGCCAAGCCGCCACTGGCGTCCGGCGCTGTGTCCAACGGCGACAGCGTTGGTTCCAGAAAGCGCAGAAAGGACGAACTGCCGCCGATTCTGACACACAGTCCCGAGCCGGTGGACAAGACTGGGTAGGTGGTATTTCTTTTTTTTCTCTTTTTGCTTCATTTTCCACTCTCTGGGACGCGCCAAGTGGCCGCGCCGTGCGCCAAACTATCAACACGCGCATTGGGTTCGATTTGCATGTGCTAGAAATGCTCCGGGACCACCGCCAATTTTTTTGTTGGTAATACAAACCAGCTACTTCGGTTGCAGCCCCCGGCAGTTGAGACATGGCTGTCTTGGACGACGGGCGCCGACTGAGCAACGCAATGAGCCAATCATGCGATGCGTTGATGGCGCGCAAGGCCGAACCACATGATAAGTCGGCAGAATGGCCGGAATAATTTTCTATGGGGCATATACAGACGGTCTATCTACGACAGTATGCGCCTGATCACCGAAAAATTGTGGTTGTGCTTGGTGGGATGATGCTTGCGATCGAGCGGATGGGTCTGCTACGAAAACATGGAGGCGAGTTCCCCGAAGGCAAAACAAGCGGCGACAAATCGATTGATACAACGGCGAAACGAGATTCAGGCAGATGGAGGCTTGCTGGCGACTGGTGCGCTTCCTTCGAGGGTTGTGTCAAAACGCGTCCGGACGAATGTCATCAGGGAGCTTGGCCTCGGCGCCTACACCAGAGCGCAGTGGACCAATGAGGCAGTGACAACAGGCCAGGGAACCAATGGACGTTGGATCACGAAGAGTCCTCGGGCTATGCTCACGTCACTGATGAGCAGGTCAGCTGCGCATTGCAGCTTCACTTGGTGCTGGTAAAGCTGACTTGGAGGCTTGCTGCGCGCTAAGACGACCCCCTCCACTGCACTGCCATGCCGCTGGAGCGTTTTGGGTGCCTGGTATTAGCGGGCTGTTGCAGGCACTGACTGACTGGGATGGGCTTGGTTACGCTAGCGCTGGCTTGCAACCGGCAACGAGCCCTCTTTGGCAGTCCGAGATCTCATTCTCTCCGTCACTGCCCTTCAGATCCTGGTCCAGCTAGTCACGACCACACAGACTCTGCCTCTACTGGACGAGCTGTGTCGACTCCGTCAGACAATCACCAACAGCAAAACCATCGTCTCGCCTCGTCTCGCCGCGGCCTAGCAAAAAGCCTCATCACCACCTGCACACCATATCACGCACCAGGTCCCTGCGCTCATCAGCCCCGCGAACAGGAGCCCGCATCCGCATCCGCACCAGCACTGGACCAGCGCACCACACCGAGGCGCCCCCTCCTGCAGCGCAACCCGACTCGACAAGACTCGACTCTGCCTTGATCCTCATCTTGGTGTCTTGCCTCAATTTTTCCTGTCGCCTCCATCCCCTCGCGCCGTCCTCTCTTCCTTGCCCGCTCAGAGCTGCGCAATGTTGACAAGATGAGCACATTTATCAAGTCAAGGTTGCACCCTCCTGCTGCTGACCGCCCCTCCGCCGCCATCACCACTGCTCCCAACCCATCGTTAGCCCTCCCACCACGCCCTGTCCAGTCGTGTTCTGCCACCGCCGCATCGCGTCGGTAATTTTTTTTTTCTCGCCGTGTTTGTCGCCTCGTCGCACACATTGACTCGGACTGATCAAATTTTCTCGTTTTCATTGCGCGTTCTATCGACTGTCTTCTTTGCGATGTCCTTGCCCCCTCCTGTCTGCGCTTGCCATCGTCAACAACATCATCGTTCTGCCAAAACAAATTTGCTAACTCCCACGCCCCGCCTGCCGCAGAACTCAACAGCTCGCTTCCGCCGTTACCGGTTCGCCCTCGTCCTCCTCCGCCGATGAGCCCGCAGAGAATACCGCCGATGAGGAAGATTCCGAAGATTACTGCAAGGGCGGATACCATCCTGTCCAAGTCGGCGAGACTTTCAAGGATGGCAAGTATACCGTCGTCCGCAAGCTTGGGTGGGGTCACTTTTCTACCGTCTGGCTCTCCCGCGACAACAACTCGAGCAAGCACGTCGCCCTCAAAGTCGTTCGTTCCGCCGCCCACTACACCGAGACCGCCATCGACGAGATTAAACTTCTCAACCGCATCGTCCAGGCCCAACCCGACCACCCCGGCCGCAAACATGTTGTCAGCCTTCTCGACTCGTTTGAGCACAAAGGCCCAAATGGTACTCACGTGTGCATGGTTTTTGAGGTCCTCGGAGAGAATCTCTTGGGATTAATCAAGCGCTGGAACCACCGTGGCATTCCCATGCCCCTCGTCAAGCAAATCACCAAGCAGGTCTTGCTCGGTCTCGACTATCTCCACCGCCAATGCGGCATCATTCATACCGACCTCAAACCCGAAAATGTTTTGATTGAAATCGGCGACGTTGAGCAAATCGTAAAAAAAGTGGTGAAAAACGAAGCAGGGGACAAGGAGAACAACAGAAATGGTCGCCGCCGGAGGAGGACTCTGATTACCGGCAGTCAGCCTCTACCCTCACCTCTCAACTCGTCTTTCAACCACTCGAATCTCTTCCCGTCTGTCACCTCGCAGGCGAGCTTGGGTGAGATGTTAGATGGTACTTCCATCGTCTTCTTTTATTTCAGATGGATACTGATTCCTTGTAGACGCTAGAGGGAAAGATCCTTCCCCCAAGGACGACAAATCACAAACCGACAAGACTGCGTAAGTGAACAGATTACGGCAAGATGAAAAAGACGAAAGAAAGCACAAGGCCGGACACGCGCGCGCGCGCACACACACACACACACACACACACACACACACACACACACAACCCGTATACATTCGCTAACACAGCTAGTGATATGCTTACCCGCGAGGTCTCAAGCATTTCCCTCGACAAGTCCCCAACCGCCGCCACTGGCGAGAAGCGCAAGGCCGAGGACGCACATTCCTCTGACATTATCAGCGTCAAGATTGCAGACCTCGGCAACGCCTGCTGGGTCAACCACCACTTTACGGACGACATTCAGACACGACAGTACAGATCTCCTGAGGTCATTCTCGGCGCTAAGTGGGGAGCCAGTACCGATGTCTGGAGCATGGCAGCTATGGTGAGTGCCCCTGCCGAAAGGCTCGGCCATGCCTCGCGGAAACAAGTCATTCTTGACCGAATGTCTTGCGACCTCGCGTGAAACGACGCTAACTGGTCAGATATTCGAACTCATAACCGGCGACTACCTCTTCGACCCCCAGTCCGGCACCAAATACGGCAAAGATGATGACCATGTGGCCCAAATTATCGAGCTTCTTGGGCCTTTTCCCCGCACATGCCTCACTGGCAAGTGGTCGCAGGAAATCTTCAACCGTCGAGGGGAGCTGCGCAACATTCACCGCCTGCGCCACTGGGCTCTCACAGATGTGCTGCGCGAGAAGTACCACTTCAAAGAAGACGAGGCCAAGCGCATCTCGACCTTCTTGACTCCCATGCTTGAGCTTATACCTGATAAGCGCGCCAATGCAGGCGGAATGGCGGCACACGGCTGGCTGGAGGATACACCCGGCATGAAGGGCATCAAAGTCGACGGACTCAAGGTCGGCAGCAAAGGGGAGGAGATTGAGGGCTGGTCCACGCAGTCAAGGAAACGAGCAGCATGATAATTGACATTTTATGCCTTTGATGTCTTATTCGTTGTTTTCTTTGGTTGCCGTTCTTGAACTTTTCTCGTCAATTCTTTTTTTGCGTGCGCGGAATGTTACGACATAGATGCAATGGCACAACCGGGGGCAATACGAACCCCTCTAGCAGTGCTGGTATTTGTAGGAGTCTGGAATACGGTATAGATGAGACGCTGAAATGAAGACATGTTCTAATACAACGCGGCACCTTGGTGGGATGGCTCAATCCCGAGAGGCAACGACCAAGCGGACAGAGGTACAGAATGCCTGTCGAGTGCACAATAGAGGGTCGTGATATATATTTCTCCACCGTGACGAACGAAGTAAACTTTGTATTAAAATGCCTAACCAGAGCCGGCCCCTTGGTCTCTCATTTGACCATTCTGGCTATTATACCCCCTGCGTATTACCGCCCTCAGCCGACGGGTGAAACTTGATAGAGGAAAAATCACTATGCTATGCCCTTAGATTTCATGTCAATATGAACAGCGAAACAAGATGAAAAGGAAGTACAGGGGTGCTCATGTGCTCTGGCCTCGTCGCTTCGTCGCACCATCGGGCCGCTCCACGCCTGTCGCGGCCGATCCGGTACCACTTACATCCACCATCTCGGCTTCGTCCTCGCTCTTAATCTGCGCCTGCACCTCGTCGTCTGCACCGTCTTTATGCTCGCTTCCGCGCAACACCTCGTCGACGATGCGCTTGCCCTCGTCGACCGAGCCGTTGGTCGCCTGGCAGCCCATGCAGCGCCAGACGCCCAGCTCCGCGAGGCTGTGCGTGCCGGGCGGCGCCTGGCCGTTGACGAGCCGGCACGACTGGCAGAGAAGCACGATGCGGTTCTTGGGTAGCGTCTCGTCCTCGCCGAGAAGCACGTCAAAGATGCGATCGTACCAGTGCGTCTCGAAGGGACCCCCGGCGGCGTAAGGCGCGGCAGGTTGAGGCGGAGGGTGGGAAAAGGCGTTGGGCGCGAATTCGGCGCCGGGTTCGAGCGAGTTGAGTGACGGGGAGAGCGGGCCGGTCGCACTGGAATGACCGGGGGGAGGAGGAGGAGCGCGAGGCTGGATGTTGGCGGTCGGAGGCGGAGGGAGACGTGTCCGGTTCGGAGCGGCGGTGGGCGAGCTAGGTTGTTGCGATTGTGTGCTATTCTTGTTGTCGGTGCCGGAAGCTTCCTTATTCTTCTCGCCGCCGTACTTTTCGATAAGTTCCATAGTCGAGTCGTACCGTGTGGCGTCCTTGAGTTTCTGGATCGTCTTGGCGCGCTCCTCCTGCTGAGTCTTTAGGCGCTTGCCTAGTGAGTTGGTTCGAAAGGTGAAGTAGGCACCGCTGATCTTGCGCGCGAGTATGATTCTGGCGAAAGGAGCAGAGTTAGCTTCTAGCTGTCGCAACAAGTGGTGTACAGAAGAGCACTCACACGATAGGCCCGCCCGCCATGCCCGCCCACTCCAGGGCGCCCATGTTGCCATACTTGACGACGACCAGCTGGACAATGGCGTACACGAGGTACGCGAAGCCGAGGTAGAGAACCAGCAGGACCTTTACACGGCGGGCGCTGGCGCGGGTCTTGTCCAGCGTCTTCTGGGTCGTGGTTATTTTCAAGGACAGTGCCGAGAGCGTCTTTTCAAAGGAAGCGGCCGAGGTAGTATCGCTCTGTCATGGGAGTCAGTTTTTTGTTTGGGACAACATGCGAGAGTAGAAAAGGCAAGGCTGCGTACACCCCATGGCCAAAAAGAGACCATCTTGGATATCGGGCCGGCTGGCGCCGTGGAACTTGGGCGCAGAGACGGCTCGCTGAGAAGAAGGCGTGAAGAAAGGGAAGACTAAAGAAGAAAAAGCCGCGTGTGTGGACGAAAAGAGAGTGAAGCGACAAGAAGAAATCCTGCGCAGACTGTCCGCCCCAGGTTGTTGACGTGGGCGTGGCTTGTTGAAGAAGAGCTGGTGGGAAACGTGGTGATGAAGCTGCCTTCTGCTGCCGTTGACCTGGTGGGGAAGATGATGGTGGACTCGAACAGGCAGGCGGTCAAGGCGGGCGGCGGAATCACTTTAAGATGGACTTGGTAACATCGACGGGATTACAAGAAGCAATTTTTAATATTGTAATACTTCAATTGAATTATGGTCCATGTAGGTTATTGGTAGTTATTGTAGCTAATGCGCGCGGGATATGGCACGGGTTTGTATTTTCTGTTGTAGTCGAAGATCCCAGTCATGTAGGTGACAATAACAGGCGCTGGTCATATATCTGATGCTCATTAAATTCATTCTGATATTAAAATGTATTCGAATACCAAAATTCATTGTATTAAAAATTCCTTTCTTAGAATTCATTTAATATTATTATCATGATCTGTATCCTGATGCTATTTTATCTATCAATAATTACCCCAACACTGAGCACGTCGCTGGTGGCTAGCCAAGCTGCACAGCGCCGAGTAACTAGAATGTACATTCGTAATTTGTACAATGACCAGATTCACCAACCACTAATGATTAAAGTCCGACATCCGGTATAGTACCTAATACATGCCAACGCAAATAAGGACCGTGGCGGAAAAGCCTCCTCTTTGTGCAACATGACCCATACTCCTCGGTCCGGCTAGCCTCTGACGGGCCCAAGCGGGTGACGATAGACCTTTTCGGGGTCGTCCTTGGCCAACGGCCACAGATCCATGAGGAACTGCGTCTGCATGAGCATGAGTGCGCTGAGATCGTCCCAGAGCAGGCTCCCTTTCAGGCGCAGCCATCCGTCGTAGCCCGGCGACTCGCTCAGGCGCTCAGCGTCAGCCTCGTCGACATCGAAACCCGCCTCGACGGCCAGAATATGACCCGCGGTCGCGTTGGGACGGAGATACGAGTCGATGGATTCCTTGTCTGCGACGAGATAGACTTCGTTGTTGAATCGTTCCATCAGCTCCTCATCTTGGCTCAAAGTCTCGAATTGCCTAAGTCGTTCGTCAGCACTGAAGTAGGCAGGCATGTGTCGCAATGACAAGGCAGAGGAATGCCCATGGGTGATTTACTTTTCGGCGGCGGCGATGCCATCGACTTTGCCATCCACGGTGCCCTCGACGTCGCGCCACTCGACTACGCTGAGAGCCCTGATGTCGTCAATATCGCCTAATTCGCTTCCCCAATTCGAAATGTCTGCGTGAAAGCTGCTCTTGAACCGCTCCCACTCTTCGTCACTGTGACCGTAGCTTGTCCGGAAGCCAATAAAGGCCCATGGTATAGTTTTACCGTAGCTAAAGTGTCTGCGTGCCTGTGCTACCCAGCGTGGCGGCTCATCCAGCGTGGTGTCGTTGCCGCGTAGCTCTTTTCGCGCTTGGACTTCGGCGCGGACTTGGTCCTTGGCGTGACTGACGACGCTTCTGTCGAGCAGACTTTCCATCTTGAAGGACTCGAGATGGGATAGATATCTGACGCGGAAATAGTAATCTGCTTTGCGCTTCTCTGTGCTGGCGGAGAAGGTAATGGGCTCTTCGCGGTACCGGTGAGAGGTGTTGCCTGGCACGTCATCCTGTGATCTTAGCGATGCACCGTGGTAACCGTCCGTGGGGATAAAGATGCTACTGTCGGCCTGGACAGCACCCTCATGTAGGTCATGAATTAAATCTGCGAGCGATTCGCCATAGTCATCATCCGAATCCAGTGCATCGATATCGGTGTCCTGTGCGAGTGCCTCCAATATCGGCGTACGGAGGCGATCAATATGCTCTATGACCCAGCGATTCGAGCGTGCAGAAATGGAGCTGAAGTGGTCTTCGATGTATTCATGCCAGAGAGCTGCCATTGAAAAGTCGGGATTGGTGGTGTTGGCCTGGAGGGCGTGCACAGCCTTGTCGAATTTGTCGAGATGGGCCCAAATTCGGTTGAAGGTTTCTCTCAGGCTGGCTTTGATTTCTGGTATATTCAGGTAGTGAAAGACGTCTGTTACGGCGGATATAAACTGACACGCTTGGTGAAATTGACTAGGGTTGTCCAGGTCCAGGTCCATCCACCTCCGTTCAGAGAGAGGCATGATACCCTCCCACACTCGCGCCTTCATGGCTAGCAGCTCCTTGGCGACGGGCACCAGACCTCCACGATCTTGGAACGATCCAGTACTCCCCATGACAGCCTCGATGAGGGATATCTCCTGGCTGCTGTACGGCGCCGGTGCCCATTGCGAGAAGGGCACCTGGATGTAGTCGTACTCGTCACCCAAGATGGGCAGCGCCGTCTTTTTCCCCGAGAGGAGCTCGCCATTGATGGCGAACTCGATGAAATGGACCAGCGTCTGTGGTTCCAAGACACGATCCACGGCCCACAGCCGGTTCTGTTGGTCCGCGGTGGGAGTGTCCGGGCCCAAGATTTGGTCGTAGGCGCCAGAAGGCGTGTTTCTGCGTCGTGTCAGACCCTCGCCAAAGAGACCAGCAAAGGGCGATGGAGCTGTGCCCATGACCCAACCCATGAGGTTGTCCATGGTTTACAATGGGACGGGGCCTAGAGGCTCGGAAAACGGGCAGTCTAATGTGTTTCGCGAAAGTGAGATTTTAATTTTTTGCTTGCTGCCTACTAGTGGCGGGCGGTTCTCCTGAGGTTGAACCAGGCTGCAACGCTTTTCCTGAGCTTCCGAAGAGATGGATTTGACTGCCACATAACAGGAGAAAACCGTAGACGAAAAGGTAGGCAGAGAGGCCATCTTAGAGTAGATGAAGCTTTACAATTTTATTATGTTCTTTAATTTTCTTATCTTTACTCTATTTAGTATCGTTATTATCGTTTTCAATTCTTTACCTCCCTCTTTCGACGCGCCCCCAACCGCGCTACAGCTCGGGGCCGCTAACACCACTGGGCCTAGTAACCCAGCGCTTATATATTGGTGAATTTCAGTGACTGATGGTGGAATAGTAGTTCAAGCAATACACGCATCGTTCTATGGATGGCTTCTTCCCTCTTTTCTTTTCTTGCCTCTTTTCTACCCAGAAGTAAAAAGCCAAGTCCTGCTTTACAAGGCACCGAATGAATACCCAGAAAATGGGACAGACCACGGCTACTGGCTAGGTAGGCGGCATTAATGATCTCTTCATAACAGGTTGGCAGTTGTCGCATATTCATCGCGTTCTGCCTCTGCCCAATGCGATGCCGTTGATGGCAATCGAATCGGACTCGGCGTTGCGCTTAGTAGTGTCTCTGTAATTTGCACTATTGCAACATCAATCCTGCTAGTCATTTATTCATTCTAGTTTATCTTTGGCCCAATCATTGTACACATTTTCTAGCCCGTGGTGTCTCTGTCCGGCTTTATGTTCCAGATGGGGACAAGCTCAGCAAGTGTGGACACTGCCAATTCAGGCGTACGTATTCCATCTTGCACTGCCCATCTATGTATCTTCTGTTATCTTGCCCACTTGGGGGCCAGATTGATGTAAAGAAGGGCTACCAGATCAAAACTGTTTCAACGTTTGCCATGTCGCGAACCGATTCAAAACTTTTCAAGGCTGAGTCTCACGATTCAATGGTCAAGAACAGGCAAATAGCTGCGTGGTTTAGGGTAGGGCTGCCCTGCTCCACCGACTCAGTACAAACAGTAGCAGCTGTGTCGAGGTGATTGGGAATGATGGTACTTATCCTATAAAAATAGTGCGCAGCTGAATTTTGTATAAATCGCGCACATTTCACTACTTGTGGCGTGTTTTTCTCGTGTATACATGTCTCTCGTCATTCGGTGACCTCCGCCTGGCTGTTGGCTAGCTACTGGATATGTCGGGCGCCATCACCACGATGATGCGACACCAATTCTCTTGTGAGTGGAGGGTGGCGTGAAGAAGGCTCGCTCGCATAAAAGGTAGATTGCGCATAACGACGGAGCACTTTATGCGACTGAGAACAAAGGGCGGACTAGCAATCACGTCAGGCAAGCTTCTAGAAGTGCTTCCTGCCAAGTCGGACCGTGAACGTTGGGCATTGGCAGAAGATGAAACCAGATGGCAGAGGCGCCAGCTACAAAAGGCCGCGGAAATTGCGGAAACGCAGCCACAGAATCCCCGTGATGGGGCCCAGACTACTTGGAAGGCTGAAATAGGGCCAGAAATAGCAAAGTTCAGCCCAATCGTCGTGATGATCATGTCCAAGTATCTCGGAGAAATGGAAATGCAGTCAAAGAATCTTTAGGGTTGCGCCGAGACTAGATGGCAGGCTGAAATAGCACCAGAAATAGCAAAGTTCAGCCCAATTGCCCGTTGACGACGATCTCTCCAAGTATGGTCAAATTATGGCTGATCGAAATCATGTTGCAATCACAATGGTGAGCAATGTTGTGATGGGCGATGGGTCAAACAGGCGCTTCAATCTCTGCAGTGTTAGCAGTCTGGTCCTGGTTCCGGGTCAAGGCGTATGTATCCATTTTGTGCACAGAAAACAGTTGAATAGATTGTGCGAGGAGTGACATATGTCCCGACTCCAATGTCAATGTCGGGGTACTCAAACTATTTGAGAGTCCTCAGTGACAAAGAGAAGCGGCCCCCACAAACGATGAACAACCCGGGGTCAGCTATTGCTGACCAACTGGTACCCCCAAAATAACTAGTACGGAACCGTCGTGTGACATGAGGCAGCATTTCAAGTTTGAAAGAGGCGTCGTGAAGATCCAGCGAAAAATCTCCTAAAAGTGTAAATCAGTCCAGAAGCCTAGATTCACCGACGGCTGACTCGTCACTTGTACTCGCCTCTGGTGATACCTGCGATCGCCAAGGGCGTACTGAGTGGTTGAGAAGCCCGAGGCGCCAAATCGTGTTGGCTCCTAGTCATACCTAGTCATGCCAGCATCAAGCCCCGATGCGGGATGGCGGGATGGCACGTTGAAAATGTTTTGTCACTGTTTGAAAGTTGCGGGAGGCTGTGTCGCGGATTTGGGGGCATGGGGTAACTAGGTAGGGCCTCCCCGACAACAACAACAACTTGGACCGCTGCTGTCAGGCGGCAGCCCGGCTCCAGGCAGCTTCATGCAAGGGGTCTAGAACGTGGAGAGGAAAACTGGTACAAGAGAAAAACACCATGACATGCATGGGTTCCTTGTGGCAGGCTGCAGGCTGCACGCACGGCCTTGGGTGGTTTCCTTGCGGCTTGTCGTGTTTCTGCCTGGGCTTTTGGAATCTTTTTGGGCTGCAATGGCGTCAAAAAGTTCCTTGAAACGAACAAAGTTTCCACCCTGAGGCCTGAAGGGGGGCTACTGACAACCCGGCAGGGCTAACCTACATACAAGCCACTTCTTCTTCCTTCTAGACCAGGGTGCCACATCGCGGAAATCGGGAAGAGATCGCTCTGGCCTCGACTTTACTTCCTTTTTCCTTTGCAAAAAACGCCAGCCCATCTCGTCTTTCTCCAGATGCCAAGCGAGTCAAGCCGCGACCCCGCCGCCCAGCCGCCCAGCCAAGCAACAGGTTCTACCATCCGCAAAGACAAGTCGCGCACGCCACCTTGCATCCCCCCCCCCAACCGGCACATGATCAATCGAATTGTAATGATGAAGCGGGGGAGGAATGTCATGTATAGTCTCTCTGATAATAGTGGATGTGTGCATGTTGGGTTGGGCAGATGGTGAGGCGCTTAGGCCGACGGAACAGACCAAAGCCGAACCCATACTGAAACTTTGGAGCTTCACATCTTCATGTCGCGCACCACATCAGACATGAACATATGGCAAGCAGGCGATATTGTGCTGATGGCGTCTCCCAAAATAGGAGTCATCTCGAATTTACCAGGCCAAGTCACCTCTGCGCGATAAAATGACCATGGCAACAACCGTCATCCTAGAACTGAGGCTTTTACCCACGACGCCATGGGCCGAGTGAGTCTGTTAGTCAAGTCGCGATGTTATGCACATCTGGCTCAGGCTTGCATGCCTGAATGAAACACTAGCGCTATCATGTGTCTAGGCTATTTTTGTGAGTATACTGACTTTGCAAGAAGCTTATTTTCTAGATCAGACTTTTGAAGAATAGACTCATACCACACGGGATGCTCTGTATGCTGTGATTGTACATGCAAAGTACTACAGAGACCGAATATTGACCCCTATATCAATAGCATTTACTGACAAAATCCTCACCTCGTATCCTGAGTACATAGCAAACCTAGTCAATCCGGGGAAATCGAGCTCCGGTATACATGTTGGGTAACAGCTGTCTTTCCACTGGGCCAGCTGGCCAGACAGCCGTCGGGAATCCCGTACGCCTTCTCATGTAACACGTTAAAAGTGATCTGCCTGCTCAAGTGGATACATACTAAAATTTGGAATTGATTTAAACTATTCGGAACGAAGCGGTCACTAGTAATGTGCGCAGGGGCCGGCGGCACTGAAGCAAGTCTCTGAAACGCAGGTATCAACTGCACGCTTCGGATCGTGACGATAAACCGCCCTATGGACTATCTTTAGCAACAAGCCACAAGCATGGACGAACGGTTAAATAGCAAGCATCCCTCCCGAGTAAATGCAAGAAACAATCCGATCACTCCAGCCAACAAGGACATCTACAACAAAGAGCACGACACTTTGGCCACCAAGTCTCGGAACACTTATATATATCCTCTGTAAGCTTTTTGAAAAAGAGGACATAGATTCATTCCCTCTCAACTAACACTTTGAAAAAGATCCCCTTCTTCTTCTTCATCCACGACGCCAAAAAAACAAAAATCTGCCACGATGAAGTCGACCATCATCATTGGAGCCTGTTATGCTGGCATGACGGCCGCCGCCCCCGCTCGCTCCCTTGCCGGCCGCCAGGTGTCGACCGAGACGGCCTCGAACGAGGGCCTTGCCCTTCTCCTCCACGCCATGACCCTGCGGCCCGTCCAGAACAAGGCCGCCAGCGCCTCCAGCGTCAAGGTCCTGGCCGAGAACCTCGGCGACATCTTCAAGGGGCCACTCAAGGAGATTCTCGAGGGCCTAGACATTGGTGGCCTGCTAGAAGCCTGCAAGCCCGCCGCCGGTGGCGAGGGTGAAGGCGGCAAGAAGCCCCCTAAGGAGGGCGCTGAACCCCCCAAGGAGGGTGCTGAGCCCCCCAAGGAGGGCGCTGAACCCCCAAGGAGGGCGCTAAACCCCCCAAGGAGGGCGCTGAACCCCCCCAAGGAGGG